TTATGCTCTCATCTCCTCATGTGCTGCAGTGCCTCTCTCGTGTGTGCGTTTGTGTGTGTGTGTGTGTGCGCGCGTGTGCGCACATATGTGTGTGCGTGTGCGCGCGCGCGCGCATGTGCGTGTGCGCACATATGTGTGTGTGTGTGTGTGTGTGTGTGTGTGTGTGTGTGCGTGTGTGCGTGCGTGCGTGCGTGTGTGTGTGTGTGTGTGTGTGTGTGTGCGCGCGTGTGCGCACATATGTGTGTGCGTGTGCACGCGCGCGCATGTGCGTGTGCGCACATGTGTGTGTGTGTGTGTGTGTGTGTGTGTGTATGTGTGTGCGTGTGTGCGTGTGCGTGCGTGCGTGCGTGTGTGTGTGTGTGTGTGTGTGTGTGTGTGTGCGTGCGTGTGCGTGTGTGTGCGTGTGCGTTCGTGTCTGCATGTGCGTGTGTGCGCGCGTGCGTGTGTGTGTGTGTGTGGAGAACAGGAAGGGGTGCCAGCAACTGTGGCAGTGGAGAGGCTGAGGCAAAGACAGATCCGCAACTTCATCCTCGCCCTCTTTGTCTCCCAGGTACAGCCCCCCTCATTCTGTAAGTTAGGTAGGCCTCATTCCACCATCCCAGTACGCTCACTCTTCTGTCGTGTCGAGTAAAACATTCTCACTCCTCCGATACTCACTAGAACTTTTTCACCCCTCCCCTCTCTCGTCTTATCCCCTCCTCTGCCCCCTGCTTCTCACTCCCCGTCTGTCACCAACCTTCTCTCACCCTCCCTTCACCTCCATCCTCTCCTCCCCATCCGTCTGTGTGCGTGTGCATGCGCATGCATGCGTGTGTGTGTGTGTGTGTGTGTGTGTGTGTGTCTGTGTGTCTGTGTCTGTGTCTGTCTGTGTCTGTGTCTGTGTCTGTGTCTGCGTGTCTGTGTCTCTGTGTCTCTGTGTGTCTGCGTGTCTGCGTGTCTGTGTGTCTGTGTGCCGCACGGCAGGGAGTGCCGATGGTACATATGGGGGATGAGTACGCACACACCAAGGATGGCAACAACAACACCTACTGCCATGACTCCCAGGTGGGGCCCCCATCTGTTAGAAATATATATCGTATAGCATGCCAACACTTGTGCCTGTACACCAATTGTGGTGTACAGTTGGGTTGGGACTACACCCAACTTTGGGTGTAGTCTTGCATTGTGGGGTGCCAATCCACCCAATTGTGGTGGAGCCCCCAAATGCAACCCACTTGGCTTATGGGTGCCTCACTTCCCACAAGTAAGGTCAACTCAACCCAAGTGGGCCTAGGGTTGCCTCACTTCCACAAGTGAGGTCAACCCAACCTATGGTCATCTTCACCCTTCCCTTCCAAGCCTCCCCTCCAACTATGTATGCTAGGCTTCTCCCCTAATGAACTTACTTGTTCAATTCACAATCTTCATACCATCCCTTCCATATCTCACTGTTTCAACACTGGTATACATCAGCGCCAACAACAGATTTTTTTTTTTTTTTTTCACATTTTCTCGCCTTTTGAGGCTCCTCAAGAGTCCTCTCGCCGTTTCAACACTGGTATACATACATCAGCGCCAACAATCTAATATGTTTCACCTTTCGTGCCAAGCTAATGTCATTGTCAGTGTTGACGCCGCTGACGTATGCCACCTGTCGTGCCAAGCTGATCTCACTGTCAGACACACAACCCTTTCCCCCCTTGAAATTTCCCCCTTCTTTCCCCCCTGGCAGATGAACTACTTCAACTGGGACAGAGCCGAGCAGGACTCCTCTAGTGTGACTTTCGAGGTGCCTCAAAAGTTCTTCCGCTCTTCCCCTTCCCACCTCCCCCCAGGCAGATGAACTACTTCAACTGGGAGAGAGCCGAGCAGGACTTCTCTGGCGTGCTGAGCTTCGTTTGAATCGTCTCAAAGCCCACCCTTGCCCCCCTTTGCCCTTCCCTCCAACAGATGAACTACTTCAACTGGGAGAGAGCCGAGCAGGACTCCTCTGGCGTGCTGCGCTTCTTCCGAGCCGTTGCTGCTCTCAGAAAGTACGCCATTCACTGCTGCTGCTGCTGCTGCTGCTGCTGCTGCATGTTCCACCTCCATCGCAACACACTTCCATTTCCTAGGCGCCTCAATAGCCTGCTGCATGCACCACCTTAATCACATCACAGCACACTCCCATTCCTCCTTGCTCCTTCCGTCCCATCACTTCCTCTTCCCCTCCCCAGTCCTCCCCGTTCACTTAGTGACACACATACGTACGTATAGTGATCTTCTCACCGCTCCCTGTGACTTCCGCCTCTTACTTCCTTCCATCGCCCCTCACCTCTCGCCTCTCCCCTTCACCTCTCGCCTCTCCCCTTCACCTCTCGCCTCTCCCCTTCACCTCTCGCCTCTCCCCTTCACCTCTCGCCTCTCGCCTCGCCTTGGCCCTGTGCAGGGAGTTCAAGTGTTTCCAGTTGGAAGATTCCCCCATGGCACATCACCTGCAGGCTGCAGCTATGTAGACTAATGCAGCAGTCGCGAAGAAACTAAAACAAAACATCGGTCAACTGAGTCTGTCTTTTGCACCCTGCCTCGTCTCTCCTCCCCTCCCGGCCGCCTCGTCTCGCCCGCCCTCCAGGGAGTTCAAGTGTTTCCGGTTGGACGATTTCCCCATGGCGCATCAACTGCAATGGCATGGCCTCACCCCTGGCAGCCCTGATTGGTCCGACACCTCACGATTCATCGCATTCACCATCGTACGTACCCATGCCATGCCATGTTGTGTCGTACCATGCCATACCATGTTGTGTCGTACCATGCCATACCATGTTGTGCCGTACGATGCCATACCATGCCCTGACATGCCATGCCATGCTGTGCGATGCCGTCCCATGCCATCCCACGCCACGCCACACCATGCCATGCCATCCTCTTTTCCCCCCTCCATGCTTCCTGTACCTATCTCCGTAACCCAGCAAGACTAACATTCTCTTCATTGCAAACCCTCCTTCCATGTATCTCCCCTCCCTTCCCCCACCTCCCCTTCCTTCAACACGTCCTTTCCCCGCTCTACCCCGCTCCACAACCCCTCTCCCACTCCCAATCCCCCTCTCCACCTTCTTTTCTCCCAACCAGCAGGACGACGAAGGCACCGAGCTATACTTGGCTTTCAACACGTCGCACCTGCCAGCAGTGGCCACACTCCCCGACCGTCCCATTTTCATGCCCTACCTTCTCTCACCCTCCTTTCCTTTTTCCGCTGTCCTTCTCACCCTCCTCTCCCTCTCCCAACCACCGTGACGACGACGGCATTCAACACATCCCTTCCCCACTCCTTGCGTACCCCGCTCCACAACCCCTCTCCCGCTCCCTCTCCCCCACCTCCCCTTTCCTTCTCAACCAGCACGGAGCTATACATGGCATTCAACATGTTGCACTCCCTTCCCTCCCCCCCCCCCCCTTCTGCTCCCCCCCTCTTCCTCCTTCCCTCCTCTCCTGTCCTCCCTCCTCTCCCTCTCCCAACCAGTGGGACGACGAAGGCACCGAGCTACACGTGGCGTTCAACACGTCGCACCTGCCAGCCGTGGCCACTCTCCCCGACCGTCCCATTTTCATGCCCTACCTTCCCTCCAACTCCTTTCCTTTTCCTGCTGTCCTTCTCACCCTCCTCTCCCTCTCCCAACCAGCGGGACGACGAAGGCACCGAGCTATACGTGGCGTTCAACACGTCGCACCTGCCAGCAGTGGCCACTCTCCCCGACCGCTACGCGTGCACGTGGCAACCGCTGGTGGACACTAGCAAGCCCCCGCCCTACGACGTGCTCTCCCCCGACCTCCCCGCCTCCGACCGTGCTGTTGCCGTGGCCCAGTCTGCTTCGCTGCTCGCTGCGGGGTTCTATCCTCTGCTGGGGTATTCCGCGATTGTGCTGCAGTCTGTGGCAGAAGCGGCTTGATTAGAGGGATGAGGGAGGAGTGGGAGGAGGGAGGGAGGGGGAGAGGGGAAGCAGGGGTGGTGGAGGGTGTGGAGTGGTGATTGGGGAAGGGGAGAGGGGGGAGGGAGTGGAGAGGGAGAGGCGAGGGAGAGGAGAGGAGGCAGGATGGGATAACTCTATTATTCCCCATGGCATGGCATGCCACATAGGGGCATGCATGAATCATGATGCCATGAATCATGGCTAACCACGGTGACTGGCACCTCATGCACGCACCATTACTACTGCAGCTGCATTTGCTGCCAATGTAGCACTACCAACGCACATTCATCCGTATCCATCCCCATGCTACTGCCCCACACAGCTCCTCACAACCGCACTCCACTCCCACTCCGCATCCTTACCCCACACAGACATTCTCATGCATATTGTGTTCCTCTCACCACCATTCATCTGCCACTGTGCTCCTCCCCCTCACATGCTCCATGCGCCTATCCATCCATCCACCCCTTCCCAGCAGCATCCCTCCATCCACCAACCCCACAAGCTATCACCTCCACTACCCTCTTCTGATTTCTCTAGTCACCCTCTGGTCATTCTTATGATTGCTATTTCCCTGCATGAGAACAGGGTGATGGGTGTGACATTGCATGCATGTGCATTGCATGTATGGTATTGGTTACATACTAGATGCTGTGTTTTGTTGGGCTGTATGGTATCTTGTGTTCCAACCATAGCCTTCCTGTATTGACATTAAATTTGCATAAAATACGTACTTCTGTTGACTGTACAAATGGAATTCCGTTTCCGTCTGTGGAGGATGTCAATGACTACAGTAAAATTGCTTGCAATATTTTTGTCCCTATGAGCGATGGTAAAATACAATTACACAGTATCACAAACTCAAAATAGGCCACAACTACCTCATCAGTACCTATATCAATCCACCTGTAGTGTCCACTAAATAAGAGGGCACAGAAGCAGGCCGAGAAACAAACAGCACACGCGACACAGACAGATAACATAAGAAGCCAATAAGAGAGCTGGCAGAGGGAATGGTGGGCGTGGAGAGAGAGGGAGCACTTTTGAGGTGCCTCGAAAGAAGAAACAGTAGCCTTAAGATGATGAGAAACCGAAGTATGGTTTCTGCAGGCCAAAGAAGCCAATAAGAGTGCTCGCAGAGGGGATGGCGGGCGGGGAGAGAGAGGGAGCAGCTGACGGGAAGGCTACACAAGCAGAGAGAGCAGGAGCAGCCACAGGAGGGGGTCCGGAGGAGGGTAGAACAGGGGATGTGAGGCATAGAGGCCGGGGGGAAGCAGCTGCGAATGGTTCAGTGGAACCAGGGGTGGGGAGAGGGGAGGGGGGAGAGGCAAGAGAGGAAGGTGCAGCGGGGAAAGGAGCAGGGGCATGGCTGAAGGGATTCAAGCGGAGGGGAGCACTGGTGGGGATGCTTTGTTGGTGTTGACGGGGGAGGGAGAGGAGGGTTGGGTGTGGGGATGGCGCGGAGAGAGGAGCTGGAGAGCTGGGGGGTGAGGGAGACAATTCGATGACTGTCCGCTGAATGGGTGGGCGTGGGAGCAGGACAGGCAACCGAGCAGCACGAGGTGCGTTTGGAGAAACAGCAGCAGCAGCAGAGGTGGAGGGTGCAGGTGAGGAGGAAGAGATACGAGCAGAAGCAGCAGTACGAGCAGTAGCAGGTGCGGCGGCGGCGTGAGAGGGGAGAACGAGGCAAGACGGAGCAGATGCCTGCGCCAGCCAAGGTCCCTGTGGTTTGCCCGGGAGAGGGGCTGCAGCACGGGCTGATGAAAGAGCAACAGAAGGAAGCGCGGATGGACGGGTTGAGGGAAGCGAAGCGGGAATGGCCGAGGGGGGAAGAGCAGCAGAGGAAACAGCAGACACTGGAGTGGCAGAGGGGTGCTGAGGCGGTGGGGGAGAGGGCGTGAGAGGGGGAGCTGGTGATGGTTCACCTGCTCTTATGGAGCATGGCTTGGGGGATGGAGGCGTGGAAGGGGAGAGAGATGGCGCGGACACAGGCTGAGAGGAAGACCCTGGAGCGGTTGCCTTGACTGCTGCTCCTCCTGCTGCTGGTGGTGACGTGTCAGATTCGGTCCTTTGTTGTACAGTCATTGTTGCAGCAGATGCAGATGCAGGAGCAAGAGCAGGAGAGGAAGCAGGACTGGGAGCAGGAGTGGGAGTGGAAGCGGGAGCAGGAGCGGGAGCGGGAGCGGGAGCGGGAGCTGCCCCCCTGCTGCTCTCAGCTCCTGCGTTCCCACCTGTCACTGCTGCTCCTACTGCTCCTCTCACATCTGCACCTGCTGATGCCACTGCTGCCGCCACTACTGCTGCCACTACTGCTGCTGCTGCATCCACCACCCTCGGCTCTCCACCCGCCGTCCCTGCTGTTAACGCCAACGCCCTCCCACCTGCTCCTGCCACCACAGCAGCAGACCCATCGCTGACACCACCACCAGCAGCACCACCACCAGCACCAGCAGCACCGGCGGCACCAGCGGCAGCACCTCCCTCAGCAGCAGGTGTCCCACCAGTCAGCAGTCTCCTCTTCCTCCCCCTACGCCACGTGACCAGCTGGGACTTCAACTGCGGTTGCCCTGGGTCCCTCACCATCTTAAACCGGTACACATACCACCCCTGCTTCCCCACCACATGCGCAAAGTCATGCACATGATACAGCCCATCATACACATACGCCTTCCTCCCCAGCCCGTCCACCTGCCCGCGCACCACCCTCACAGGCAGCTGCAAGAAATAACTATTCGCAAGCCCCAGATTCCCCCGCACCAGCTTCTGATTCCCAGACCCCTGCCCCGTATACCAAAACTCTTCCCCTTCATCCTCATCATCCTCATACCCCCCTGACATGACAATACACGTCGTCACATGCTCTTTGAACGGGCAGCGGGAGGCCGGGATATAATCAATCCCGCTCATGTGCTTGGTGTGCATGCCCACCACTGCGAGGTGCAGGCGAGAGGGGAAAGTGGAGCCTACTGGCACGCCCCGCACATGGCCTATGATGTCCCGGGGGAGTAACTGGTTGTTCTGGCTCATTAGGGTGTATGCATCCATTGTCACGGACTGTCTCTTGCGCCTGGCAGGTGTGCCTGCTGCTGCTGCTGCGGGGGATGCAGTGGATGGGTTTTGGGAGGAGGGAGGGGAAGAACCCGGAGCAGAACCAGCAGCCGTGGCGACATCTCCAGCGGCATTGGGCGCAGCAGAAGAACCCTCAATGGCAGCACGGACACTAGCGAAACCAGAGGCACCTGCACCACCAGCAGCAGCAGCCGCAGCAGAAACAGCAGCAGCCGCAGCAGCAACAGCATCAGAACCAACCCCAGCAGCCGCATACAGAGGCAACATCTGCTGGGCCTCCTCCATCTGCCTCTTAAATCGCTCTAACCCCTCTCTGTAACCCCCAAACGTCTTTAACGCTGCCTGCACCTTCCTCTCTGCCTCTGCCTCCTCCTCCGCTGCACCCACCTGGCTGGACGGCAGCTGCAGCTCCAGCCCTTGCCGAACCAGGTTCTCCCTCTCTGCTTGCTTCTTCGCCACCCAGTCCTGTAGGAGAGGGTCGGGAGCGGGTAGGTTCGGCGGGGGTTCATTGTGCAGGGCTAGCTGCCATGCGGGTGCTTGCTGCTGCTGCTGCTGCTCCTGCTGCTGCTGCTCATTCATTAGCAACTGCTGCTGCAGCAGCTGCTGATGATAGTGCTGCCGCTGCACATTCTCCTGCTGCTGCTGCTGTTCCAGCTGCAGTCGCAGCGGTTGCTGCTCCCGAAAGGGCTGCTGTGCTTCCTGCCTCATCCCCTCATCCTCCTCCACCACATCTTCCACCTCCACTCGCCACTGCTGCTGCTGCACCGCCTGCTGTGCTGCTGCCGCCGCTGCTGCCACTGCCGCCACTGCCGCCGCTGCCCCCACCTGAACCTCCTGCAACAGCCGATGCTCCCGCACACCTGCCCCTTGGGCTCCTACCGTCTGCTCTCGCTCCCACCCTTGCCCCTGCCCCTGACCATGTTCCAAACCCTCACCCCGTCCCTCTCGCCCTGACTCAAGAGCACGTCGCTGTGCTTCCTCCTGCGGCTGCTGCTGCTGCGGCAGCGGCGGCGGCAGCATCAGCAACTTCTGCTCTCCCCTATCCTCCCTCCTCTCCCTTTCCTCCCTCTCACTCCGCTCCCTTCCCTGCAGCAGCAGCATGTTTTGCTGTTGCTGTTGCTGCTGTTGCTGTTGCTGCTGCTGCCTCTCCCGCCACACCACCTCAGCCTGCTCCCCATCCACGTCCTTGCTTTCAAATAGCATGTGCTGCCTCCGCAGCATTCGCACCCGCGCCTCCCAATCCCCCCACGGCAGTGCCAGTGCTGCTCCCCCTGCCCCCACTGGCCCCCCTGCCCCCACTGGCCCCCCTGCTCCCACTGCTGCCCCTGCTCCTGCAGACCCTTCATTATAGCCGCCTCCACGCGAAACCCCCGGCAACTGTAACAGCTGTACCAGCGGCACCTGCTGCATTGACTGCATTGACTGCGTTGACTGCATCGACCGCAATGCTTCCCAGGGCAGCGCCAGCAACGGCTCATCAGCAACACCATCACGCTGCTGCCTTGCATTCCTCTCCAAGTCGCTCCTAGGCACGCCCTCTATCCCCAAACCACCACACGCCGTATCATCTTCGGCCTTTACTCCTTTACCTACCCCCACGTCCCTATGGCTACCCCCCTCCAACCCCCCTGCTCTCATGTCGCCTTCTCCAGAGGCTGCTTCACCCTCTCCCTCTCTCTCTCCCTCTGGCTCTGCCTCTGCTGGCATTGCTGGCGGCACCCAAATGGCTATGGCCTGTGACCGTTCTGGAACAGCAGCAGGAGTAGGATCGGGAGGAGCAGCAGCAGCAGCAGAAGCAGCAGAAGCAGCAGCAGCGGTAGCTGTAGCGGAATCTGTAGGGGCAGGAGCGGCATCCGCCTTACTTGTACCACTATCTTCTGCTGTCGCCATGGCAGAACCTCCAGCCGTTAATCCCTGGCCAGCAGAGGCAGCGGCAGCAGCATCAGTAGCTGCTGCTGCTGATGCAGGAGGGACGTACGCATGAGCACTAGCAGATTCCCGTGCTGCAGCAGCAGCTGCTGCTGCTGAGGCAGGAGCCACAGGGCCTGAACTTGCTGGTGCTGCTGCTGCTGCAGCTGCTGGTGCTGCTGGTGCTGCTGCTGGCGCTACTGCTGGCGCTGCTGCTGGCGCTGCTGCTGGCGCTGCTGCTGGCGCTGCTGCTTGCGCTGCTGCAGCTGTTCGTATAGGTGGCAACGCCGGCAGAGCAGGCAGACCTTCCCCCTCCCCACCACACTCTCCTGCATCCAGTGCGCACAGCTCCTGCTTCACCACAGGCTGCAGCATCAGGCGTGCAGACGGCACCACCACTCCCTCCAACCCACTCCCCGCCTCCTGCCCTGCACGCACCACTCCGCACGCCTCTTCTTCCTCCCCCTCCTCCTCCTCTTCCTCATCTTCCACCTCCTCCCAACTCCCTGCGCCTTCCTCCTCATCCTCCTCCCCCTCCTCCCTTTCCTCCTCGCTATCCTCACCCTCATCCTCACTCGCTGCCTCTGGTTTCACGAGCAGCATTGGCGCTGTTACTTGGCTCTCTCTCCCTGCCTCCTCCCTCACGTTCTGTGCATTGCTGTGGAACTCGGTATGTGCACCTGCCTGCTGCAGCACGTCCCTCGGTCTAGCACCTACTGATCCCGCACCTGCATTGCCACGACTGCCCCCGGCACAAACAGCTCCCTCAGCAGTATCCCTGCCACGACCAGCAGCGCCAGTACCTGCATCCGGCTGTGATACTGGACTACGGCCTGGGTCTGCGTCCGCGGCAGAGGCAGGGGCAGAGGTAGAGGCAGGGGCAGAGGTAGAGGCAGGGGCAGCGGCAGAAGCAGGGGCAGAGGCAGGAGCAGTCGCAGGGGCAGCGGCACGGGCAGCAAAGGGTGCAGACGCAGGGGCAGGGGGACGGGCACGGGCAGAGGTAGAGGCAGGGGCAGGGGCAGGGGCAGGGGCAGGGGCAGGGGCAGGGGCAGGGGCAGGGGCAGGGGCAGGGGCAGGGGCAGGGGCAGGGGCAGGGGCAGACGCAGGGGCAGAGGCAGGAGCAGCCGCAGGGGCAGCGGCACGGGCAGCAAAGGGTGCAGACGCAGGGGCAGGGGGACGGGCACGGGCAGAGGCAGAGGCAGGGGCAGAGGCAGGGGAAGAGGCAGCGGCAGAGGCAGAGGCAGGGGCAGAGGCAGAGGCAGAAGCAACGGCGGCACGGGCAGCGGCAGGTGCAGAGGCAGGGGAGGTAGAGGCTGGGGCAGAGGTAGAGGCAGGGGCAGAGGCAGGGGCAGGGGCAGGGGCAGTGGCAGACTCAGGGGCAGAGGCAGGAGCAGCCGCATTGGCAGCGGCACGGGCAGCAAAGGGTGCAGACGCAGGGGCAGGGGGACGGGCACGGGCAGAGGCAGAGGCAGAGGCAGGGGCAGAGGCAGAGGCAGGGGCAGAGGCAGAGGCAGGGGCAGAGGCAGAGGCAGAAGCAGAGGCAGGGGCAGAGGCAGAGGCAGAGGCAGGAGAAGACGCAGACGCAAACCCAACAGCATCTGGACCCACAGAAGCAGCATGTCCGTCCCCATGCATGTCCTTCACTGCGTTACCACCATTGCTCCTGCCTGCACCTGCTGTCAGAACACTAGGAGCGGACTTCTGAGGCACTTTAGAGGTTGCCGGAGCACCAGGAGCGGAATTTTGAGGCACTTTAGGAGTTGCCACAGCACCAGGAGCGGTCTTCTGAGGCACTTTAGGAGTTGCCAGAGCAGCAGGGGCGGATTCCTGAGGCTCTTTAGAGGTTGCCAGAGCAGCAGGAGCGGACTTTTGAGGCGCTTTAGAAGTTGCCACAGCAGCAGGAGTGGATTTCTGAGGCACTTTAGGAGCTGCCAGAGCAGCAGGAGCGGATTCCTGAGGCACTTTAGAGGTTGTCACAGCACCAGGAGCGGACTTCTGAGGCGCTTTAAAAGTTGCCAGAGCACCAGGAGCGGATTTCCGAGGCACTTTCGAAGTTGCCAGAGCAGCAGGAGCGGACTTCTGAGGCACTTTAGAAGTTGCGACCACACCAGGAGCCAGCAGCAAGCCCCCACTCTCACCACCTCGCCCCACAACCGCGGCACCGGCCTCTGATGCCCCCCCTTTTCGCCCATTACTTTGGGCAATGCATGCTCCCAATTTCGCCTCCTGTGGCGTTCCTCCACTCAACTCCTTCGCTCCCCTCTCCGCCCTCTCCTCACTCTCTTTCCTTCTCTTGACGCTCTCACCTGTTGGTCCCCCGCCGTCACTCCCCCTGCCATCGATCTCCCTGCGCTTCTCCTCATCCAAGTCCCTTTCTTCTCTCCTCCTCTTCCCATCCTTAGTCTCACGCTCCCCTGCCTCTTCCGCACGCTTCCCCACACTGCCTTCGCTCGCCAACCCGCCTCTTCCCCGTTTTTCCTGAATCTCACGCTCCGCGTCCCCCGTCTCTAACCTCTCATCCTTCACATGTGCGCCGACCAATGCTTCTTCATTCGCTCCCTCCCTTACCGCAATCTCCCTTGCCCTTGCGGGGCCCATAGCGGTAGTACGTGCATCATCATTTACCCTCTCACTCACCGCAACCTCCTTCCCTCCCTTTCTTACTGCATCCCTCCTCCCGCCACGGTCTCCTCCTCTCTCTGCATCACCCAAGGAACCAGCCTCGCTTTTCGCCTCTCCCTCTCGCCCCTTCTCCTCGTCGTCCTCCTCCCCGCATACTCCCTCTCCCACTCTCCTTTCCCCCTCCTCCTCTCCTTCCCCTTCCACGTCATCATCCTCCTCCTCCCCCTTCCTCAACCCTTCGTCCTCCCTCTCACTTACCACTTCGTCCTCCACACATCTTCCTTCATCATTCCCCCTTCCATCCCCCTCCCCCTCTTCTTCCTCCTCTTCGCCATCCTCCTCCTCATCCTCATCATCGTCCCCAACCACCTCGCCCTCTTCCAGCTCATCATCTAACCCCGCCTCCTCCATCGCTCCTCTCCTCTCGTCGCCATGCGGCACACCATCAGGCGACAAAGCCTCTCCGCCGCCTCTCGCCAACCCCCCAGGCACCTCCCAGGCCCCCTCCCTCTCCTCCGCTTCCTCATCCCCCACCTTCACCCCACCTACCGCTCCCAGCCACGAATCTTCACCCTCCCCACCATGACCTGCTCCTTCCGCTTCCTCTCGTCTCCTCCTCTCCTCCCTTCCCTCGCGGTTCCTCTCATTCGAATCAACCCGCCGTTTCCGCTTCACGCCACGGTCGCCTGACAGTCGCGCAGTTCGCATATCCCGATGGCGACGCCCGTTGCCGCCGTGGTAACGTGAACAATTCACCGGTCTGGCTTTTCGATAAGCGAGATGTCTGCAAGGAACCACTCGGCTGTGGTACCAACAACTTTGGGAGCGATGGTGGTTGCAACGCTGGTGGTGGTTGCAACGCTGGTTGCGATTCTGGTTGCGACGCACGAGCCTTGCCGATCCACTACCCGCTCCTCGCGTCGCTGTTTCCGCTTCCGTTGCCATTTCCGTCCGAGTCTCTCTCATATTCTCCCTTCTCAGCTCCCTGCCATCTCCACCACCCTCCGCGTCCTCTTGTCCTTCCGTTTTGACTTCCACGCGCGGGACTCCTCGAACCCTCCCGCGCGGCTCAATACCATTAGCTTGAAAGGAACTATTTCCTCCACGGTTGCGTGCTGTCCCCGCAACCTCCCCAACGTCTGGCTTGATGTCTCTGGGAGGTAAACGCGGCCTGTTATTTCGGGCTCCACCTAATGTGCGAGCAATCTGTCGCACGCGCACGTCGTTTTTGCCGTCCTCGTCGTCGGACGACAGCACGATGACTTCGGGCTGCGACCGCGGTGGGTTCCCGGCCATGCTGCTCGTGCTGCTGCTTCGTTACAAGCTAAGCTACGGTGATAGAGAAGCTTCCAGCGTCGGTCCCTTCTGCAGGGAACCAACGCAATGTAGCATATGAACCTCGCGCAATAAACAGGCGAACATATAACTACCTCAGAATGCTGGACAGCATGATCGACAATCTAAAGCGTTCTAGGGGGTTGATTGAAACCAAGAAGCTGCTCAAACCTACAGGTTCTGGTATGTTCCTCCTCGTGGCCTGCAATGTACACGGCACGACCCACCTCCCTAAACGGCAGCAGTTTGGAACAAGAACGACACGATGCAGCCTCTAACCGAAGCTCATGAAAAGAAAAGTGTACTCATAACGCGTATGCGTTCGATTGCCAAGGGGCCAGTGCATGTGATACAATGAGGAGGTAGCCTCGGCTCCGCACCTCACAGGGTCATATCGACGAGAGTGGATCTTCCCGCCAAACCCTGGCAGAGCTGGTTCGGAACGAACGAGGTGGCGTCACCTTGAAGGCATGCCATTCTTCCAAAGCAGCTTGGCAGATGACGCAAATGAGAGATGAGGGGCTTATCCACCAAAAAAACTCTGTCCCAATAGGAAGTTCATGAAATATGAGCAACCACTCAGGTGCTAGCAGAATTTTGCTAGCCAATGGACGGACGGACGGATCAATTTTGCATGGATGTCCTTCCAAAGATTTACCACTCTACCAGAAGAGCTCTTGTTGGTCACTCTACGAGAAGTCCTCCAAGGAGCAATGCATCTACATGGGAGCATTTGGTAGAGCCACCCTTCGTCTCAACATACGGTAACCACTCTAGGTACCGTAAATATTTCAAGGAGAATTTTTTTTTTAGAACAGGACCAATATTTGCACATTCTAAATTCTACTAGAAATCTTGACCTAAAACGAACTATGGTAACAAGCCTCGGGTTAGTATTTAGGTACTATCCATTGTGTTGCACTTGTGTCGATAATATCAACAAGTCCGCAACCAACACTATCACCACTATGCATCCCAAAACCTTCCATCCTCTGATCAACAGAATACCGCACAAAAGTGAGGCATTGCTACCAGGAACTAATCGCAATCAACCCCTTCCCCCCACCCTCAAACCAAGTAACCTCGCATGTCACAAGTTATTCCTTGCCTCCACAACCTCTTGACTCAACCGGGCAACCTTTTTCAGAATCACCTCCTTGTGATCCTCCACTAGCCGAGACCCGCAGAAAGCCACGAACTTATCAGCATGCCAGAAGAGCAGCGCATCCTTGAACTTCCTCTTCTTGAGCCCAGGGTCGTCGGTGGGCGAGAGGAAGAGGCAGTTGCCCTCGGGCGGCCAGGGGATGTCCCAGAAGTGCAGAGGCACGTTGGCGCTGCCGGCTGAGTTCTTGATCTGTCTCAGCCGGTTCTCGTATTGCTCGTAGGTCATGGGCGTGGCTGGACAGGCATGGGCAATGGGCATACAGGCAACCAAGCATCAGCACAGCATACATGGTTCCCTCCCCCAGACCCCCCACACCCACCACCACACAAGCATGCGTTCATCACCGCAGGCATCAAACGCACCATGAAATCGTAATCCACATGCACACACATGTACCACAAACACAGATGAAGGAAGGTGGGTCAGAAAACTGGGAATGGGGCCCTTCATGCAAACAACCAGCATCAAGAGCAATTGCTCACTCGCCTTTAACCTTCTGACTCACAGGATTCACCTTAACTGGCGACACACTGATCCTCACCTCTCCTCCCTCCCTCTTCCGCTCCCTCCTACCTCCTCCCTCCTCCCTCCTCACTCCTCTCCCTTCTCTTCCCACCCTCACCCTCACCTGCTTGTCGCATGCGGTACTGATCCTCCAGCCACTTTTGCTTCGCAGCTAGAGCGCTCTCCTCTGCCATGGCCTTCCGCCGCACCTCCTCCTGCGCCCTCCTCGCCTTCTCCGCCTCCTCCATCCGCTTCCTCTCCTCCTCCCGCTTCCTCATCTCCTCCGCTTGCGCACGCTTCCTCTCCTCCTCCTCCCTCATCCTCTCCGCGTTCATCGCCTCTTCCCGCTTCTGCCTTGCGCTCTCCGCCTTGCCCCGCCGCGCCTCCTCCGCCTTCCGCCGTCGCTCCTCCTCCGTGCGCTTCTTCCGCAGCTCCCCCTCCGCGCGTCGAATCTCCGCCGCCGCCGCCGCGAACGCCGCGCTCATGCGCGCCTCGCGCTCGCGCAGCAGGGTGCTGTACCGCGAGAGTACCTCCGCGGGCGCATCCTTCGGGGGAGGCGGAGGCGGGGGACCCTGAAAGTGATGTTTCGGGGGGAAAGCAACGAGAGGGGAGGAGGAAAATGGAGCGCGGGGGAGCGCATGGGAGAAAGAGAGGGGGAATGGGAGGGGTATACGAGGAGGTAAGCGCGCATTTAGCAGGAAAAGCTTCAAAAGAGAGCCAATGGAGCCAACGGGATCGTTGAACGTTGGGAGGGAACGTGGGAGCCGAATGAAACGAAGGGAACCATCACACAACCACCAAGGTTAATGGCACCATGACAACTTACAAATGCATCCGCCTGCTGGTTTTGCCCCTGCTGGTGCTGCTGGTAGTGCTGCTGCATGCGTTCCACCTCCGCTTTCATCTTCGCCATCTCTTCCCGGTGCGACATGGCCTCGAACATCCGCTTCCCCTCCTCCTCCTGCAGCTTCCGCCGCAGCTCCTCCACCTCCTTCGCCTTCTGCTGCTCCCGCGCCCACCGCTGCATCTCCGCCGCGTGCCGCACGCGCTGCTCCTCCTCCCGCTTCACGCGGAACTCCTCCTCCATCGCCCGCCGTATCTCCGCCTCCTTCACCCTCCACGCCGCGTCTCTCGCCGCGCTCTCTTCCCGCGCGCGTCGCGACTCCTCCTCGCGTCGCTTCTCCGCCTCCTTTACAGCAGCCGCCGCTTTCTCCTTCAGCTTCTCCTGCAGGTCTCGGATAATCTCGCCGCGCTCTTTGAGCTCCTTGCCGAGCGCCTCGCGTATTCGATCCATGTCGTCTCTGTCTTTCTCCACCTCCTTGAGTTTCTTCTGTAGCTCTTTCATAGCGCGCTCCTGCTTCTGCCGCGCCTCACGCTCCTCCTGCGCATTTCCCGCCCCACGCGCGGGTCAATGGGGACGCACGACCGCGGCGGAATGAGCGGAAGAAGGGCGGGTTGCGAAAACGCAGCAGAGCAGGATTCGTAACAGGCACGGGGCGCTTCAGAGCAGCGCAATGAGCCCAACTCGCGAGATACGCGGATGGGAGGTTCGAGGTGGGAGAAGCAGAAGCAGAAGGTCACAGCGGTAGGAACGCGCAGCAGTGAGGACGGGGAACCGCGCGCTGCGGAAGGGGGGGCTGGCAGTAAGAAAGGCCTCGAGCGCACGCACCTTTTCGCGCTTTTTCTGCTCGTCTTTGACCTTCTTTTCCTCCTCCATGCGCTGCCTCTTCACCTCCCGCTCCTTCACCGCCTGTCGTGCCACACACGAAACGCATTGTGCACACGCACCGTGCACGTCCGTGCAACGCATTGCACGGGCAAGCACAGACAGTGAGATTCGTCAGCTCCTTCGATTCAGATACGATGCAAGACGAATAATCAAGGATGACAACCAAGACCGCAAAATCACTCATGTATGCATGGACAAACCAAAACGTTACGGTAGAAGTAGCGAGGCAGCTTGCTCTCACCTCCTCCTGCTTGCGCTTCTTGTCCACCTCCGCCTTATCCTTCAAGCCGCACGCGACGCATTTGTGCGGCATGCCGGGCGCCTTGCCGATCTTGATATCAGAAATGAACTGCGCCAGCCGCCGCACGTCCTGCGGAAGCTGCCCGTGACTCACGCTGCACAGCACCAGCGTGTTCCCGCCGGGCCCTTCGCCGCGCACCTCGAACGAGAACTTCCCTGTAATGGCAACTCCGAAGCACTTTGGCGTTGCGTTGAGATTAACCAACTAGACGCGGCTTGAACGGGTGGGGCTTAAGAAGCAGACCCTCGCCTAGTAAATGCAGGAAACCGCGGGATGAAACCGCTGCTAGAGCAGCTTCATCAGCAGTTGCCGGTTGCACACGTAGCGCTAGAAACGCTGGATGCTCAAGAAACGCGCAAAGAAACGGTGTGGAAACTACACGTGCTAGGCGAAAAACAGATCATGAGAGAATGCGCATGGAAGCGAGAATGGAGGCGGCGGGGGACCGTCCTAGCACACAACGTAGTACGCAATGGCGCACAGCCGAACTTCCTACTACACAACTTACCCTCGTGAATGAATTTCATTCGGAACCTCCCCATGTCATTGATGGCGAAGGCGGTTCCCGCGGCAGCAACGGCGTTCGTGAACCCCGCTTTCGCGACGAACAGCAGCGCCATTGCCGTGCCTCCGCCATCATCAACCGTCGCCCCGTCAACAGCATCCTCGATACTATCTCCAGAGCCAGGGCTGGGGCTGGATAAACTTATCGGGCCGCCTCCGGCTGGAACGCGGCTCCGCGGGATGCTGACGACGGCGACGTGGCTCTTCGGCTGGCCGATACGCTGCCCCTCGCGCTCGAATGTGGCCGATACGTTGAAGCAGCCAAGGAGCTCGAAGCCCACTGGCGAGCTTACGACCATGGCGGCAGGAATGCGGAAGAATATAGAGGTTGTTCACCGAGTAGTGTTTGTTTTTCGGGTAACGAGACGGGATATATGCTTTCAGTCAACCAATGCGAAGCCGGTGATTAGGCTGAAGGGAAGGGTTGGGGTTTCACCAATGCATCCATACAGTCCTAAGCAGTCCTATTCTGCTCCTTCACATACACACAGGATAGAAAAGAATGTGAACACGCGGTGCTCGTGGCAGCAGCATGGAAAGCACGGAGCAGCCAAACTCGCTGACCTATGCGCCTTCCACTAACACACGCTCAGCCTGCTTGGCTGCTTCTCAGTCAAAATAGTACGGGAGGAGGAATGCGACAAGGAATGGGATGGAATGAGAGCAGGGAAATGCATGTGTCGAAAGAAGCTCGAGGAATGGGTTCAGGAAAGAAAGGGATTTTGATGTGGAGTATGTGGGTCAACTCAACAGCAGAGAAAGGATTTTCATGCGGAGTGCTGCTTGCTGGGGTGAAGCGGATGGAGGAGGTATCGAGGGGGCATTGAATACGAATTGGAAGTTTTGAAACTTTCAACCAAAGCGGAACCGCGGGCGCAGCAATTCTCGAGGTGGGCGGAACAGAGCACTCAGTTGGCGGGCAATTGGGTGCACCCCACGAGCCGCTGGCAGAGCATGCGGGGGGATTCTGGGCTACGATTGGGGGAATAGGCGGAGTTCGGGGGAGATTGGCGGCCGAGTCAGGGGCGTCGGGGGACGATTCGAGTTGGGTTGTTCAAAACGAGAAATTGATTTTCAAACAACCACGGTGGCGTCAGAAAGACGAGGCGGTTCCAGATGATGGCGGAGTGTTGAGTATTGTTCTATATGAGTGCAAGGAATTTTCTCGATATTCCTTAGCGCGCCCTGCAACATCGCGTACAGCAGCAGCCGTTGTTCGCCCGTTACTGCTAACGGGGCTTTGCCGACTTCGCGCGCACTGTTTCACCAAACCTCGCACTGCTGGCCTGGCCGTGTCGGCCTACGCTTCGGGACTAGCCCGAGCCCCACTTCCAGTATAGCACTAGCTAGCTCGCACGCACCGCGTTACCGTTTGCATGTTTCGCATATAAATGTTCGCTCACGCCTTCGCTCACATTTTGTACTCGTTTGACACCTTAGTGAAATTCTCGCTACCTCGATTCATTGCACCCGTAACACCTGGTATCAGAGCCTCTTTCCTTTTCGGACCGCGCATCTCCGCACCCCAGGAAATCAACTTTTGATTTTTCACTCGAAGGGACTCACGCACCTTAGCACCTAGGAGCCGCTGTCCTCGCGTTCTCTCGTAAACGCGTGCAGCCACGACTACGCCTAGACTAAGACGACCCGACGCCCTTCGGAATGGCAGAGCATATTGACGTCACTAACCTCACGCAGGACCGCCTGGACGAGTTGCTGCGACAACTGCACGAAAACTCCGAAGAAATCGCGGCATTAACGGCGGAACGTACCTCCCTGCAAAACGACCTCGCACGAGCACAATCCCAAGCACCTGGCACTCCGATTCAGCCCGCACCACATACATCGCAACACAGAAGTGTGGGGCAACCCGCGAGTGCCGCAAGTGATGGCGTCGTCCGCCATGACGGAGACGACGATCACGGCACGACACACCCCGACGCGACGAATGCGGCCAGGAATCAGCCTCGAGACACTATTTCGGTGCCGGCTGGCGAATCAGCTCTACCGTCGCCGATGCCGCTGAAGCCGCAGCGTCCGCCATGCTTTGACCCAAGTCAGCGGGGTGGTCCTACCGTTCAGGCGTGGCTCTTCACGTTGAATGTTTTCTTCGACGCGAACTACGTCTCGGAGGATACGGCAAAGATTCGTTACGCCGTGTCGTTGCTGCGAGGACCCGCCAAGGACTGGTGGCATGTCATCGTCACGAAGCCGGTGGACTACGCGACTCTACCGACACGGGAAGGACAAAGCGGACCCTGGGCGCCGTCGTATTTCGTGGAGGTGCCCCAGTATCGCACGAGGGACGCGTGGTGCGCAGGTCTGCGTGCTCGTTTCAAGCCAATTGCGGCATCGATCGCGGCGCGACAGAGGCTCCGCACTTGGCGCCAACTCGGTTCCGTCCAAGACTACACGAGCGGGTTTCTGGCGCTATGCGAGCAAGTGGGTTATATGCACGAGAGCGAACGCATCGACCGCTACATCGGCGGCCTGAAGCAGGACATCGCTCAGGAAATCCAGCTTCGCGGCGTCACCGATTTTCAGGAGATTCTCGCCATGGCGGAGAAACTTGATTTCTTCCGCCGACCGAGACCGGGGTCCTACGAAAGCAGCAATTGGGGACATCGGCCTCGTGGGACGAACGAGGGCGCTACGATACGTGCCGTCGCCGCAAATGCCGCTGCCGCACCGTTCAAAGGGCGCTGCTTTGCGTGCAATCGGCCGGGACACCGTAAGAGCGAATGCCCGGAAAATGCTAAGGGAAAGGGGGAAGCTGAGCAGCAGAAACAGACCAAGCAGCAGGGAAACGCTGGGAGTCAGTAGCAGACGGGCCCTCTACTGACAGGTCACGCCGCTCGCCCGACCCAACCGACCCTCACCGAGTGATTGTGCCGGTTCACGCAATCGACCACACCCGGCCGAATAAGGAGGGTACTACGGTAGACAGCCCTATACTGCTTAATGGGAAAATCGGGACGGACTTAGTTAAAATCTTCGTAGACGGAGGGGCCAACCACAGCCTTATCAACACTGCCACAGCACGAAAACTGCGACTGCCACTGGACAGATGTTTACCTGAGATCGACGCAAGACTGGTCGATGGCACGCCACTGGCAATACGGGAAGGTGTGGACCGAGTTCGGATCCGATGCGGGGGTAACTTCACGTTTAGCCAGGAAATGCTCGCAACGACCCTCGACGGAACCGACATTTTACTCGGGCGTGATTGGCTGCGACGACACAATCCGCGAATCGACTGGACGACGGGTGACTGCACTGTGCGAGTGAACGGTAACAACATCGCCTTACCTCACTGGGGCTCGCCTGAGTCTTCGTCGGTGCGTGTCAACATGATCACGATGAAACGCGCCGTAGCGGCAGGAGCTGACGTGTACGCGGTTGACATTCGGGAAGCCGAGGCAGCAGACGAAGGGGGGGATTTACAGAAACTGCTAGCCGACGTACCGGGTGATCTGGAAGCAATGTTGAAGCAGTATAGTGACATTTTCCCGGACGACCTACCGACGGGACTGCCACCTCAGCGACCGCACGACCACAGGATAGAACTGGAACCGGGGGCACAGCCAACAGTATTGAGACAATTCCGACTGACTCAACCCGAACTGGACGAACTGAGGAAGCGGCTGGATTACCTGCTTGAGAAGGAGTTCATTCGCCCTACTTCGTCACCCTTCGCAGCACCGATACTGTTCGCACCGAAAAAGGACGGGGGATTTCGCATGTGCATAGACTACAGAGCACTGAACAGGGTTACCATCAAATCTCGTTACCCCATCCCACGAGCCGACGAACTGATCGACCAACTGCGCACAGCCCGGGTTTTCTCGAAAATTGACCTTCGGGGAGGTTACCACCAGATTCGCGTCAATCCACCCGACTGCCCCAAGACAGCCTTCCGAACACGCTACGAATCTTTCGAATACACTGTCATGCCTTTCGGACTGACCAACGCCCCCGCCACTTTTCAAATGACCATGAACGAGGCCTTCCGCCCGCTTTTAGATAAGTGCGTCATCGTGTACCATGACGACATACTGATTTAACAGCCTCGACAGAGCACAGCACTTACAGGACATCGAAGCAGCTTTTAAGATATTGAGTGAGAACCGCCTACTGACAAAAGCGTCTAAGTGTGAAAAAAAATGCGACGATTCAAGCATGGCACGCGCCGACCAACTCGACCGAGTTGCAGAGTTTTCTGGGGTTCGTCAACTACGTGCGCCGGTTCGTCCCCGACATGGCGAAGCTGACTGCCCCGTTGACCGACCTGCTGAGGAAGGGGGTCGAGTACACGTGGGGGGGGAAAGAGCAAGCTGCCTTCTCGGCCCTCAACATTTTTTTGTGCTCGCCACCCGTGCTTCACATCGCAGATCCACACCGTCCGTTTGAGCTGCTAGCGACATTGCTGTGGGAGCGGTACTGTTGCAGGACTTCGAGAACAGCCTTCAGCCAATCGCGTACGAGTCCCGCAAGCTTCACCCGCCCGAACGCAACTACCCGATACACGACCGCGAGATGTTGGCGATCGTGCACGCGTTCAAAGTGTGGCGATGTTACCTCACAGGAGCAGACGTGACAATACGGACAGACCACCGATCCCTACAGTACCTTCGCGCCCAACCGAATCTCAACCCACGACAGATCCGTTGGTTGGACTATCTGGAGTCCAACTTCCACTACACGGTCACGTACTAAAAAGGCGCATCCAACATCGCCGACGCACTCACACGCCCCACCGCCCAACTCCACGCCATCCTACTCGCCCAAACCAACCCACTGTTAACAGGCCTATTCACCCACGGATACAGTACCGACCCATTTTTCACGACCGGAAACTCACAGCAACTGGCAGAGGCCAGAGGAGTCTATTACGTAAAAACAGGCACCAACCGCATCTGGGAACCTGCGTACTCACTACTGAGGGAACTGTTACTGCAGGAGGCACACGACGGGATTACCTCGGGTCATTTCGGGGTAGAAAAAACGCGACAGCAACTGCAGCGGTATTACTACTGGCCGGAGCTGTTGACCGACGTACAGCACCACGTGGGCTCGTGTCCTACGTGTCAGGTGATGAAGAGCTTGCGAAAAAGAAAGACGGATCAGTTGCAGCCGATTCCACCGCCCGAGCGCGCCTGGCAGCAGGTTACCATAGATTTCGTCACGGGGTTACCTTCGAACCCAGGGGGTAACGACGCAGTTATGGTCGTCGTTGACAGGCTGACGAAGATGGCACACTTCGCTGCGTGCAAGAAATCGATCTCAGCCGAAGAAACCGCTCGCCTGTTCATCGCAGCCGTCGTTCGACTGCACGGGATACCAGCCACGATAATCAGCGACCGCGACACGAAGTTCACCAGCAACTTCTGGAAAAACCTCTGGGAGCAGTTTGGGACAAGGCTACAGTTCAGCTCGTCGTACCACCCCGAGACCAACGGTCAAACGGAGCGGACGAATCAGACAATAAAGCAGTTGATTCGTGCCACGTGCGACGACCCAACCACTTGGGAGCAGCAGCTGCCGCTGATCGAGTTCGCGTATAACAACGCCACATCAGCGACGACGCAGCAGTCCCCTTTCTACCTGAACTACGGGCAAAACCCTACAGTGCCCATGACGTCGAGTCCGGACAACCCAACACCACGTGCACAGCAATTCGCCGAAGTTCTGCAAGCTGCCCGCACCAGAGCCGCAGAAGCAATTAAAAAGGCCAATGTCATCGCTGAGCGCAACGCTGACCGCCACCGCCGCCCAATCACGTACCAGTCAGGAGACTACGTACTGCTCGATACGCAGAACTTAAGACTGCCCGTCGTACCGAAATTGCGACCCCGCTACTGTGGGCCATTCCAAATCAGCCACATGATTACCCCAGTGACAGCTCACCTACTGTTGCCGACGGACTGGTACATCAGCCTTTCGTTCCACGTTAGCCTACTTCGCCCATACATCCCAACCACAAGCCAACTGCCTCGTCACCGCCCGCCATCCATGACTCGCCCTGCATCGGAGCCGATCATCGAGCCCGAAAAAATCACGAGCCATCGGATTCGACACCCCACGGGAATCAAGAGGATTGAATCCCTCGTTCGCTGGAAGGATCGCACGCCAACTGAAGATAGCTGGGTGCCCCTGGCCAATATCGAAAACCAACCTGCCCTGCAAGTGTACCTGAGGAACCGGGGTTTCCGCGTTACACACGCATTCGCGTAGCGGAGGGGGCTTCTTGAGGGGGGAGGGGTAGTGTAAGGAATTTTCTCGATATTCCTTAGCGCGCCCTGCAACATCGCGTACAGCAGCAGCCGTTGTTCGCCGGTTACTGCTAACGGGGCTTCGCCGACTTCGCGCGCATTGTTTCACCAAACCTCGCACTGCTGGCCTGGCCGTGTCGGCCTACGCTTCGGGACTAGCCCGAGCCCCACTTCCAGCACAGCACTAGCTAGCTCGCACGCACCGCGTTACCGTTTGCATGTTTCGCGTATAAATGTTCGCTCACGCCTTCGCTCACATTTTGTACTCGTTTGACACCTTAGTGCAATTCTCGCTACCTCGATTCATTGCACCCGTAACAATGAGTAAGGAATGCAAACGATGGTACGGTACAAGCCAGCATCTTATCCTTCACATACATTTCTCAATAATGGCTATTCAATAGGCACATATGGCACCAAATGGTACAGCTAGTTTAGACTGCAAAACATAATATAAATTACATATTGTTCAAACAATACCGAAGCACATACCAATAGCTAAAATGTCTTCGTATAAAAAAAAAAAAAAACAAATTCTAGGTATGGACGGAAGAAAATGTACTGAATGGAAACGCTGGACAGCGGAGCTTAGACGGTATGGAGGAAGGCATACCATTCAAGTCATTGTCACATCGAACCATTTCATACCATTTCTTCTCAAATGCCAAAGCAGCTACAGAACCCTCCTTTCTTGCGAGCTGGCTTCTGAACCTGTGATGGTACAGGGGAGGTACGGGAGACAGAGTTGGTAAGCGTGCGAGAGAGGGGAATAGACGCATGGGGGTGGACGCATGGGAATAGACGCATGGGGGTGGACGCATGGGGGTGGACGCATGGGAATAGACGCATGGGGGTGGACGCATGGGGGTGGACGCATGGGAATAGACGCATGGGAATAGACGCATGGGAATAGACGCATGGGAATAGACGCATGGGGGTGGACGCATGGGGGTGGACGCATGGGAATAGACGCATGGGGGTGGACGCATGGGGGTGGACGCATGGGAATAGACGCATGGGAATAGACGCATGGGGGTGGACGCATGGGAATAGACGCATGGGAATAGACGCATGGGAATAGACGCATGGGAATAGACGCATGGGAATAGACGCATGGGAATAGACGCATGGGAATAGACGCATGGGAATAGACGCATGGGGGTGGACGTGCGGGATAGTGGGAAGGGGGACGCGAGGGAGGAGGGCTGACAGCAACAGAAATCGCCCAAGTAACTGCAACGACAATGCTGCAGCAGCAAACCAGCAGGACGCACACCACAATTCCACACCACACCTCCATACCACCACAACCCCACCCCACCACAACCCCACTGCAACACCACTGCAACACAAGCACAGTACAGCAGCACTTACGGGATACGGTGGTGCAGCTCCTGCCTGCCCTGCCAGCGCTGCTCCTGCAGCTGCAAACCCTCCACCTGCTCCTGCTGCATACGCCGCCCCGCCTTGTAGCGGTACCTGCCCTGACCCAGGATACACCTGCCCCGGGTACAACTGCGCTGGGTAACCCTGTCCCTGCCCCTGCCCCTGTCCTTGCCCCTGTGCGGGGTACACCTGCCCTGGATAACCCTGCGCCGGGCCTGGCAACCCCTGACTCTGCCCCTGAGGTCCCTTTGCTCCCTGTCCCTGCCCCTGCCCCTGCCCCTGTCCCTGTCCGTATGCCTGTCCCTGCCCCTGTGCCCCCTGTCCCTGCCCCTGCCCCTGCCACTGCCCCTGCATGTGTCCCTGGGGCCCCTGGCCCTGCCAGGCTCCTGAAAACGCTTGGCCCGAGTATGGCTGCTGTGGGAAAATCCCAGAGGCATAGGGTTGGCCTGTGAGGCCTGGACCTACATACAAGCCCCCCTGCGTCGCCCCCTGCGGCCCGCTTTGCTGCCATCCCTGCGGCCCGCTTTGCTGCCATCCCTGCGACCCGCCTTGCTGCCATCCCTGCTGCCCCGTCGCTTGCTGCCCTGTCGCTTGCTGTCCCATCGCTTGCTGTCCCATTGCTTGCTGTCCCGTCGCTTGCTGCCCCATTCCCTGAGACATGCTTCCCGAATCACTCCCCTGCCGCTGCCCACTGTACGAACCCACGTCCGACCCTGCACCCGAAACCACTCCCGAACCTGCACCCGAACCTGCCCCTGCCCCAACCATCCCTGACCCCGAACCCGACCCTGACACCGTCCCAGATGCATTCGCGGCCACCAAAGCTAAAGCCCCTGACCCGTCTCCTCCTCCTCCTCCTGCTGCTCCTCCTCCTCCTCCTCCTGCTGCTGTTGCTGCTGCTGTTGGTGGCATCTCAGCAGACCGGGACAGGCTACCAGCGCGCCTGACATACGTGGGAGAGTCCATGCCCACAAACGGCGGCGCCATCACCATCTCCACCAGTGCCCCGCATGACGATTCCTGCCCCCCCGTCTTCGCCTCCCCGCCTGCCCATGCCGCCTCCTCTTCCGCTGCTACCGTTCCTCCTGCTCCTGCTGCGACTCCCCCTGCTGCCACCCCCCCTCCTGCCACCACCGCCCCAGCAGCAGCAGGGCCATAGTCACTACCCAGGGTAGTCTCTTGCTTCCTGCCAGCCATATGCGCCTCATAAAACTCTGTGTACCCGCCGCCGCCGCTCCCTCCGCTCGCTCCTTCCCCACCCGCGTTCATGACCCCCCCGGCTCCCACTCCCCCTTCGCCCCCAGCTGCTACTGCAGGTTGACCACTCATATACCCCACTCCTCCCACACCTCCCCCCTCTCCTCCTCCTCCTCCCCCTGCTGCTGGCCTCGTCCCTGCTGCAGCAAACGCAGAGGCACCAGCACCAGCAGCAGCAGCGGTGGCCGCAAGGGGGCCACCAGAGTTGTTCCCTGGATCAACAAAGCAGCCGCTGCCAGCATAGTCACTCCCGGTATAGTCACTCCCTGTCAGCCCGCTGAACATGTACAGACCCCCTCCTGCACCCGCTTCACCGGATTGATTGCCTGACTGCCCTCCTGACTGGGCACCTGAGTTAGCACCTGGCTGGGTGTTGGAACTGTAACTCTGAGAGGTAAGGGCGGACGGGCCCCGTGGGGGGGAGAAGAAGGGAGGAGCAGCCGCAAGGGCGGCTGCTGTAGCAGCGGAAGACGCTGCCGCAGAAGCAGTAGCAGCAGCATTAGCACCAACGCCAGCAGCCACGGCAGGAGTGGGATCGGCTGGTGGAGAATAGTGAGCAGCATCAACGGTTGAGAGAGCAGGAATGGCAGCAGGAGTAGCAGCAGCAGCAGTGACAGCAGCAGCGGTGCCTACTGCAGCAGCAGAAACAGAGGTTTGGGGGAAGGTGCTGTTGCGATCCCCACCACCGGTGCCTGCACTGTCACCAATGCCACCAATGCCGGCTGCACTGTCAGATTCGTTGACTGGGTACGTATGCTCATCCCCTCCGTCCTTCTCACCTGGTAGTAAGTCCCACTCTGACTGCCCCATTCCTGGCATTCCTGCCGCCGCTACTGCCACTGCTGCTGGTGCTCCTGCTGTTGCTGCTGCTGGTGCAGGTACCGCTGGTGCATTGGTGGATGAGGGTGGTGAGAGTGATGCGGGTGCCTGATGCGCCCACGCCTCCATTCCTCCCTCCACCCCAAACGGGCCTGCGGACGGGTCAGTGTGACCTGCTGCTGCTGCTGCCATTGCTGCTGCCGGCGCCGCTACTGCTGCTACTGCTTCTCCCGGTGCTGCCACCTCTCCTCCTACTGCGCCCACATCCGAGGCAGTGGCACCCCTGGCAGCAGCAGCAGCAGCAAACATCTCTCTTTCAACCGCCGCCCTTTCCTGGAAACGACCCCACTCCGCGCCTCCGTCCCCACCGCCTCCCCCCATGCCGTCCCTCTCATCCCCCCCGCCTACTGCAGACTCCTGCCCGGATTCCTCCTCCCACCACCTCCGCTCGTACTCCCTCCCAGCTGCCTTTGCCTCTCCCTCCCCAGCCCCCTCCCCAGCAGCAACACCAGTAGCAACACCAGTAGCAACACCGGTAGCAACACCGGTAGAGACACCAGCGGCAACACCGGTAGCAACGCTGGTTTTGACACTGGTAGTGAAATTATCCCTGGCCTCCTCTTTCACCCCCTCCTCTCCCTCACTCCCAATCTCTCCTCCTCCCACTCGCTCAACCCCCACTCCCACAACGGCCTCCTCCTTCCTGCTCCACTCTTCCCCCACCTCCCTTTCCCCTTCATACCCCTTCTTTACCTCCCCCTGCCCCTGCCCCTGCCCCTGCCCCTGCCCCTGCCCCTGCCCCTGCCCCTGCCCTTGCCTCTGTCCCTCCACCTCGCCCCCCTCACTCTGCTCTGCCATTTCGCTATCCAGCCCCTCATCTTCCCCTTCCTCAACCACAGCCAATCCCATCCCCATCTCTGCACTCATCGCCACCATCCCCGCCCCTCCATACCCCTGCATCCCCCCTCCGTACCCCTGCATTCCCCCTCCATACCCCTCCATTCCACCACCATACCCCTCCAATCCACTCCCATACCCCTCCGTTTCCCCACCCCACACATACCCTCGCCCTGCCATCCCCACACTGCCCTCCCCATGCCCGTGCCCCCCAAACTCCTCTTTCCCCGTTCCCCACAGCACCTCTCCCGCTCCCTGCCCTCCCTGTCCCCCGTGCGTTCCCTGCCCTTCCGCCCCTGCTGGTGCTGCTACCCCTCCCTCGCCACCACTTGTGTACGAAGGGGCAGCACCAGCAGCAAACACAGGCGCGGCTGTGCCAGAGAGAGCGCCAACACCGGCACCAACACCAGCACCACCATCCCAACCGTTCTCAACATACTCACTCTCGTTATATCCATCTGCCACGCCTGCTGCTGCTGCCAGTGCTGCCGGTGCTGCCGGTGCCACTGGCACTGCTGACGGTGCCGCTGCTTGTGCCGGTGCTACAGCTGCCAGTGCTGCTCTCTGGTTCTGCACAACGCTGCCGCTGCTGCTGCCACCGCTGCTGCTGCCACCGCTGCTGCTGCTAGCAACAGGCGGCCCCCCCATGGCAAGGGCAAGCACCTGTTCCAGCCCAGCAGCCAGGCGCTGCCTCTCCCCCGCGCTCAGCACCTCCCCGTGCAACAGCCGCTGCTGCAGCTGCTGCATCTCTGCTAGTGACGGCGCTGGTGCTGCTGCCGGTGCTGCTGGTGCTGCTGCCGGCGCTGCCGGTGCTGCCGGTGCTGCCACTACTGCTGCTGCCGGTGGTGGTGGTGGTGGTGGTGGTGCTGCTGCTGCTGCTGCTGTTGCTGCTGCGGCGGCTGGTGCTGGTGCCGGTGCTGCTTCAACAGCAGGAGAGGCATGCGCAGGGGCACGGACAGGCGAAGGCACAGGGGCAGGCGCGTATTCGTACCCATACTCGCGCGCAGGGGCGGGTGGAAGGGCCGGGGCAGGCGGAGCAGCAGACGGAGCAGCAGGCGGAGGGGCAGGCGGAGGGGCAGTCATGGCAGCAGGCAGAGAGGCGTAGTGTAGCGGTGGGGAGTCCGAACCAGCAGGGGGAGAGGCACGGTGCAGCGGTGGTGGTTCAGACGCAGCAAGGGGAGAGGGCTTGACGAATGGGGGCGGAGGGACCGGTGCGGATTGCGCAGGCGCGAGAAAGGGAGGGGGTGGGGCGGAGTCGGAAGGGGCAGAGGTGGCGGAAGGCGGGGGGAGGACGATAGGCGGAACGAGAGCCGCTGGGGGGGATGGTGGGGGGGGCTGCGCGGCAGTACTGGGCTGGGGAAGAGAGGAGGAGGAGGGGAAGAAGGGCGGGGGCGCGGGGGCAGAGGATGGGGGCAGCGGAAGGGAGGCGGATGGGGGGAAGGCGTAGGGGTCGGGGGAAGAAGTGACGCTGGGGAAGGGCTGGGGGAAGGACTGGGGGAACGAGGAGTCAGAAGTCTGTGGGGAAACCAGGGAGTTCTGGGTAGAACGCAAGGGGAAAGGGTGGGGGAGGGAAGGGAGGGGGATGGGGGAGAGAAAGGGGGTAAGGAGGCGGGTAAGAACGAGGGGAGAAGACGGGTGAGGGTTGCTGGAAGGGCGAGCGGTAAGGCGGAAGCAGAATGGGGGCGGAAGGGGGTTGGAAGGGGGGAAGGATGGAGACGCGGAGGGATGGTGGGGAGGAAGAGAACGGGGCAAGTAACAGCGCTACTGGCGGGCAAGCTAAGGAATGAGTGGAGGCGAATAAGAGGAGAGGAATGGCTGGAGGCGAATGTTAGTGGGTTGAGCAACTGATTCCACTGAGGCGACTCTAAAGTCGACTCAGAAGACCACCGAGGTGAGAGAGTGCAACCAGTCTCATTCGCCCCATCATGCTGCGCTTGCTTGTGCCTTAGTGGCACTGTTTGTACAGCAGCTATTTTGTCGTTGTGAATAATCAATCCGTGGGGCGTCTGAAGAAAAGCAGCCGGCCTTTCTGTGTGTCTTTCTGTGTGTGTAATCATTTGTTTCCGTGAGCTTTGTGCTCTGTGCTTCGCTCCGCCGTGTGCTCCGCAGGTTTCCATTCTGCACAGCCGTGTCCTATTTAATGGCCTCTTGAAGCCTTTCAATGGAAAACGTGTTTCCATTCTGGAAAAAAAAAAGGAGGAGAAGCGGCATAAAGGCGACTGGAGCAATGGCGTGTGCAATGAAGCAATAGCAGCCGTAAATGGCGGTAGTCAAAGAACACGCTTCTAAACCTCACCTTGCTTGATTGCCGGTGGTGAGTCATCATCTGCTGCTGCTGAGTCAGCATCTGCTCGGCGCGCAGCCTATCGTGCATCATCGTCTGCTTCGCCAGAATCGCGTCGTACTCAGGCCACGCGCACTGCCCGTTCCCGCGCTGCTCCCCTTTCGCGCGAAACACCTCCGTGAATTTTGGCTGCCCGTCCCCGCCCGCGCCCGCGGTCGCCGCGCGGATCGCCGCCGCCGCCGCCTGCGCCGCCGCGTTTTCCGCCGACGAGCCCTTGTTGAAATTCGGCGGGGGCTGCGGAGCGTTCCACGAGCCGAACACGGGGAGCGCCGCGGAGGGGCCCTGCGCCGGCGCGACAGAAACGAACGGGATTACAGCGGGAGCACGAGAGAAAGAGGACGACAAAAAAAATAAATAAAAATCAATAAAAATTAGCCAGAGCAGAGAAGGGATGTGTAGTATGCTTGTGGATTGTACTGGTCACAGGCTGGGAAGCAAAAGAGCAGCAGGGTAGCCTTCACAGGCTGCTGCTGAGTCCAGGAACAATCGGTCTGTGATGCGCGCTTTCATTATTTTTGAATTGAAGAGACAGAAGAAGATAGGGTTTCAAAGGATGGGGGATGGGGAGGGGAGGAGGGCGGGAGGCGGGGAGCCGTAAGTTTCAAGGCAGAAAGGCTAGCGGACGTTATGCTTGCACCGGCACACACAGCATTATTACATACGCGTCACCGAGTTTCGTCTCACCTTCCCCTTGCGCAGCTTCGGCACGTGCACGGAACGCGGCTTCGACGCGGATGCCGCGCCGTCGCTCATGCCGCCGCTGCTGTTGCTCGCGTGAAACGCGGCGCCGCCGTCCCACGAGTCCGCGCCGAACAGACTCTCCACCGCCGTCGCCATTCCCGGCGACGACGGGCCGCGCGCGCCGCCGCCGTAGTCGCCGCTGCCATTGTTCCGGCGAGGCATGGCGTACTTTCAAATACCTATTATTTCTTTTCCGTCAAGTCGAGAGTGGAGGGGTTTGACGGATATAAAGGGAGACTGAGTGACCAGTTGTCACTGGCCGACGGACTTAGGCGTGGTCTTGATACAAGACAGTTCAGGCGTAGCTGTGTGTCGCTTGATGGAAGGTGACTGGTCGCCCTTCGAATCCCAAATAGCTGTGAAATCTCAAGGCTCACGATAGGGCACGTTAGATAAGAGACACGGTTGACATTGAAAGGGGGCTGCAAGCATCTTCGAAAAACGGATAGACGGTGTTTTCAAGGCGGTTCTTTGTGAAAAGAACAGGCGATACCGACAGCAGGGAGGGAGGGAGGAGAACAAGAAAGTGGAAATGCCGTGTGTGGTGTTTTGATTCGAAGGTTTTGGATTGAATCTTGTCGGTTGACTCTTCTTCTAGTCTTGCTTGTCTGTGCAGGGGTGAGGGGGGGGTTGGGTGTGTGCGGATGGGGGGTATGGGTGAAGCGAGGAGGAGGAAGTGGGGGGGCGCTATTTCTTCTCGTGCTCGCTTGGCTTCGCACAACGGAGGGCGTTCACTGGATTGGTCGCGACTCGTTCGCATAGGACGTAGGTGTGGTGCGTAGAGTCGCGGTCGTGGAGGAGTTTGTACAGCGATGCTGTGGCTGTTGCTTTCGGACCCAATCGAGTGCTTCGTTTCGTCCATGGGCTGACGTGGTGGACGAGAAAGTTGTGAGCCTGTGCGACGCTGTCAGACCTCGCTGGCTGTCGGCGAAAGAATCAGCGGTGTGTTGGCGGGTATGTGGGGGATTCTTCCTGCGACAAGTCAAGTCGTCTCGATTCTTGCTGGTCGGCGGAGTAACAATGAACGGCCAAACTTTGTATGCTATTTGTTACGAAACACGGAAAACTTATGTAATAATAGCTGTGGTTGTCGGGTTTGCCCTGAGTTCTCCTTAGCGTAGTTGGAACCAATTAATATATTTGTACCCAGGATATTCGTGCTGGGCGACACCATCAGTCACCACCTCCGCCAAATGGAGAGGGGCGTTACCACGCGACCCAGCCCAAGAAAAAAGAAGAATGCTGATTGTATGGCAAGCCCGATACAGCGTTGTGAACAAGCCTCTTGTTACACTTCGGAGCAGCAATTCTTACACAAATTACTCTCGCCCACATCGTGGTCATGGACTAGCAAGTCCAGCACATCCTCGTTCAACGCACACCGTCCGTTCATGTCCTCATCTCCACGTCGTCAACCAGGTTGGTCCACGAAATGCCACGCTGTCGCTTCGTATCGCACACGCGTCGCCACAACACTCATCCGAGAAACACACCCATTCGCAGCCAGCCAGATGCCGCAAATGCGTCGCACGCAGAACCAACTCATCGCACGCAAATTCGCCCCTTTTCCATCACCAATTTCTCGACTCAAATCCAGCACCACTCCAAGTTGGCTGCTTGACCAGCCTGAGGCAATCCCGCGTGTGTGCGTGAACCTACCCCAACCCGCAAGTCCAACCTCACTTCCCGCTCATTTCTCTCGTGCTTGGAGTGTGCTTCTAGCCTACCTGCGGCAATCTAGCTGTTCCACCAGCCAACCATGGCGTCGCAACTAGCCGCCGCCCGCGGCCCTGCATCTCTCGCTCCCTTAAAGCCTTGCCGCGACGCATGCCGTCGCTCTGCCGCGCCGTCGCTGCAAGTCCATCGCAACCGTCCGTCTTCGCAAATAACGCTGAGCCGTTCGCATCATCATGAACGCGCCTCCGGCCTCTCGTCGTCTCGCGTCGCCAGCATCAATCATCGCTCTCTCTTCCCCTCGCTGCGCTCCAATCGCGCGCTGCCACGTCAGCAGCGCGCGACTGTGGCGATGGCTGTCGAAGCTGGCGCGTCTGTCGCCGCTGGTTCCGGCAGCGACAGCGCGGCGGCGGAGGCATGGCGCCCGGAAGCCGAGGCGGCGCGAGATAATGAGGCGGGCTCAAAATTCGTGTGGGAGAAAAACTGGTATCCTGCAGGTACGTGGCCTTGATACGGCTTGATACGTTAATGTGACTAACGGGAGTGTCACTAACGGGACTTTGACATTCCGCGAACCAAGGGCGTGGGTTGATTGGATCATCTTGCGCCCTGGCAGCACCGTTACGCGCGTCCGCGTGCAAAAAAGCGTCGAATTGTGCGCGTCCAAACCGTTGCCCACGTGACGTTTTTCTAGTAGATGCGCAACGAGCATGCCCGAGTCACTTCCGAGAACCCTCCCCGCTTTCCCCCTCCCCCGTTCCCCGTTCCCCCTCCCCCTGGTCCCCTCCGCCAGCCGTGGTGCGCGAGTTGGATCCGCGCGTGCCCGTGGCGCTGACGCTGCTGGGGCGGCCCGTGGTGATCTGGTTCCACGCGCCCTCCGCGCAGTGGCTCGCATTCCACGACCTCTGCCCGCACAGGTGCCTGATCCACGCTCTGTCGCACAAGCGACTGCTTGCTGTGTCGCACAGGTGCCTGATCCACGCTCTGTCGCACAAGCGACTGCTTGCTGTGTCGCACAGGTGCCTGATCCACGCTCTGTCGCACAAGCGACTGCTTGCTGTGTCGCACAGGTGCCTGATCCACGCTCTGTCGCACAAGCGACTGCTTGCTGTGTCGCACAGGTGCCTGATCCACGCTCTGTCGCACAAGCGACTGCTTGCTGTGTCGCACAGGTGCCTGCCTGCCGTGTCACACAGGTGCCATTTTCAGAATAAATCAACTGATCGCCTCGCTGCGTCACATGCTTGCCTTACAGCAGCACCACCAGAACCAGCAGCACATGATTCTGCCGTGCCGTTCGTGCGCTCTTACCTGCCTCGTCACTCACTGCCTCTCTCCACATTTCCCTGTCCGGTTGCACCGTGCATTTATTATGTGCATGGATGTGTGTGTGCATGTGCATGTGCGCGTGCATGTGCGTGTGCATGTGCGGGTGCATGTGCATGTGCATGTGCATGTGCATGTGCGCGTGCATGTTTGCTCGCGGGTGTGCATGTGCGTGTACTCACGTCCGTCCGTGCATGGGAGAGCAGGCTAGCACCGCTATCGGAGGGGCGCATACACGAATCGGGAGACCTGCAGTGCAGCTACCACGGATGGACCTTTGCTCCCGATACCTCCTGCACCTTCATCCCCCAGGCCCCCTCCGATGGTCCTCCGGTCAGTCAGTCAGCCCCTCAGCCCAGCACCGCACAGTGCAGCACAGCACAGCACATGACCGGACAGAGCAGCACAGTACGCATCGCATTGCGGATATCGGTTTCTGTCCTTATGAGTCTCCAAAATGAGCAGAGCAGCAAGGCCCGCAGCAAGCTTCTGCCTCCGCTTTCCCTCCCTGCCTTGATCTATCTTGGTTGTCATCAAACCCCCCCCCCCCCCCCCCCCCTCCCTCCGCCCTTCCCTTCCCCCCAAACTTCCCCCAGCCTTCAACCCCACCAGCTGAACACCTCCCTCGAAGCACGTGCGCGGCGCTAGCTAACTCGCGTGTATCCAGCATTCTGTTCTTGGGCTGCTTTAAAAACCGTCTCCATCCCACTCCCCTCCTCCCCCATGCCCCTGCCTGCCCCCCTCCGCCCTTCCCTCCACCACCACCAGGTGAACACGTCCGCCCGGGCATGCGCGCGCAGCTACCCCACGTGTGTGCGGCACGGCATAGTCTTTATCTGGATGGACCACTCGCCCTCCGCCGCTGCCGAGGCAAGCTGCTGCGAGCACTCTTCACCCTCCCCTTGCCCTTGTCCCCCCTCTCCCCCGCTTCCCTCTCTCTCCCTCCGCCCATACCCCTTCCTCCCCACCCCTCTCCCACCACCACCAGGTGAACACATCCCCTAAGGCATGTTCGAGGGCCTACCCCACGTGTGTGCGGCACGGCATAGTCTTTATCTGGATGGACCACTCGCCCTCCGCTGCTGCCGAAGCTGCTGCCTCCCCCGTGCCCGTCGTGCCCGAGCTCGAAGACCCCACCTTCCAAGGAGACGTCGTGCAGACGGACCTGCAGTACGGGTGAGTGGCAGAGGGCCTGGTGACGGGCTAAGCGGGAGAGGGGGAGAAGGGGAGAGGGGGAGAGGGAAGCTGCTGCCTCCCCCGCGCCTGTGGTGCTTGAACTCGAAGACCCCACCTTCCAAGGAGACGTTGTTCAGACGGACCTCATGCCCTACGTCCCCTTGAACCATGCCCCCATGCCCCCATGCCCTCATGCCCCCATGCCCTCATGCCCTCATGCCCTCATGCCCCCATGCCCTCATGCCCCCATGCCCCCATGCCCCCATGCCCTCATGCCCTCATGCCCTCATGCCCCCATGCCCTCATGCCCTCATGCCCCCATGCCCTCATACCCTCATGCCCCCATGCCCCCATGCCCCCATGCCCCACACACTCGGATATGAGCTGCTGGTGGAGCACGAGGTTTCACTGCCCACACACTGAGTGAACCTCGTGCTCACATGCCCGTGCCCCGTGCCCCATGCCCCCCCACACCCTATGTTCTGTTCTGTTCTATCCCGCCCCCATGCCCCACCCTCTCCCAGCTGCGAGGTGCTGGTGGAGAATCTAGTGGACCCTGGGTTCTCCACACAGTGAACCTCCTGCCCTTGCCGCATGCCCCCACAACCACAACCCCCCATCCCCTATGCGCCCTATGCCCCCATGCCCCTATGCCCCCATGCCCCTACGCCCCCATGCCCCACCCCGTCCCAGGTACGAGCTACTGGTGGAGAATCTGGTCGACCCTGCCCACGTGCCCTTTGCGCACCACAAGATCATGGTACGTTGAATTGAAAGGACCATTCGAGAATTCTCACGAATTCCCATTCTACAGTATCAGCCTACGCTTGTGCTGCCACTGCCGCTACTAACTAAGCCCCTGGCCACCTCCCATTGCAACAACAACAAGTGACACCACCATCACTTCACACACCCACTGCCAACTGCGGGCATCTATTGAGTCGATTTTTGAGGCGCCTCAAAAATCAATCACACACCCACTGCCATGTGCGGGCATCTTTTGAGTCGATTCAAAGGGCATCTGTGCAACAGGTTACACGCCTCCCCCAACTCGTGCCTTCTGCCTCTCTCCCTCTTATTCCTTTCCCCCCTCTCTCCCCGCCTCCCGCCCTCCAGAGCAACCGCAAGTTTGGCAAGCCGCTGGATCTGACAGTGAACGGCATCCGAGCAACGGGCTTCCAGGGGTCCAACGACCAGGGCGGCCCCTTTGAGTTCCTGCCGCCCACGCTCGCTCGCCAGGAGATCATTGTGCAGCCCAAACCCGGCCAGGTGGGTAACCCCTCCAGCCAGCTCCCCTCCACTGCTCCCCTCCTCTCGTGGCGCCTCAATATTCTTTCGCCAGGAGATCATCGTGCAGCCCAAGCCCGGCCAGGTGGGTAACCCCTTCGCTCCTCCTGACCCCGTACCGACCCACTTCGGAGGCGCCTCATAGGCCGTTTGAGTTCCTTCCTGCCGCCAACGCTCTTGCTCGCCAGGAGATCATCGTGCAGCCCAAACCTGGACAGGTGGGTAACCCCTCCACCCCTCCTCTCCTCTCCTCGCCTCTCCTTTCCCCGTACCGACCCACTTTTGAGGCGCCTCGTAGGCCGTTTGAGTTCCTGCCGCCCACGCTCGCTCGCCAGGAGATCATTGTGCAGCCCAAACCTGGCCAGGTGGGTCTTCCCTCCACCCCTCCTTCCCTCCACCCCTCCTTCCCTCCACCCCTCCTTCCCTCCTCCCCTCCACCCTCCACCCCTCCACACCCTCCCTGGCACAAAACCTCCCTGGCGCAAAACCTTCACCCCTCCACCCCTCCACTCCTCCTCCTCTCCACTCCTCCTCTCCTCGCCCCTCCTTTCCCCTCCATCTCCTCTTCCGTTTCCTCACTTCCTTCCCCTCTCCCTTTCCTTCCTCACCCCCCGTCCCCCTCAAATCCCCCCAAGAAGCTCGTTGTAGCCTTGTACTGCATCCCCACGGCTCTCCCTCTCATGCTTCCGAGATTCTCCCTGCCTTCCTCTCCTCTCCCCTTCCCCTCCCCTCCCCTCCCCCACACAACCCCCCTCCCCTCTCCCCGACCAGCCCCCCTCCCAAGAAGATTGTGCTGGATTCCCATTGCACACCCACGGCTATCCCATGCTGCACTCGCATCATCATATCTCACAAACTCTTCCTGTCTTCTCCCCTTCCATCCATCCTCTCCTCTCCCTCCCCACCAGCCCCCCTCGGGTCCCCCCGAGAAGCCTGTGCTGGATTCCCACTGCACCCCCACGCCTCTCCGTTTTGAGCTCGTATTTGAAACTTTCTCCCTGCCTTCCTCTCCTCTTCCCCCCACCAGCCCCCATCAGACCCTCCCAAGAAGCTCGTGTTAGCCTTCTACTGCATCCCCACCTCTCCCGGCAAGTCGCGGCTCATCTTCACCTTCCCCTCCAACTTCTTTCCGCCCATCGTCGCCCTCGTGCCGCGCTTCCTCACGCACCTGCGCCAGCTCGTCATCCTCGACTCGGACCACTACTTCCTGCACGTGCTGGTGAGGCGAAGGGGAGGGGGAGGGTGGAAAGTGGAAGGGGGTTGGGTTTGTGGGGAGGGGAGTGAGGCAGGGGCGAAGGGAGGGCGGGTTGTGAGACCTTCCTCACGCAGCTCGTGATCCTCGACTCGGACCACTACTTCCTGCACGTGCTGGTGAGGCCAGGGGGAGCGGGTGGGGAAGAGCCAGGTGGAAAGACGGAGGCAGTTGGGGTTGCGGGGGTAGAAAGGCGTGGTGGTGGGTGGGTGATGGTTGGGGACTTGGCCGGTTTCCTTCCTCACGCACCTGCGCCAGCTTGATATCCTCGACTCGGACCACTACTTCTTGCACGTGCTGGTGCGGGGGAAGGGGAAGGTGGGGAGGGTGGAAAGTGGAAGGGAGTTGGGGGTTGGGGTTGTGGGGAGAGAGGCAGGGGCGAGGAGAGGGCGGGTTGTGAGAGCTTTCAGCTTCCTCACGCACCTGCGCCACCTCGTGATCCTCGACTCGGATCACTACTTCTTGCACGTGCTGGTGCGGGGGGAGGGAGAGTGGGGGCTGAAGAGCCGGGGCGGAAGAGAAGAAGGTTCTGGGTTGTTCTTGAGACCTTTCAGCTTCCTCTCCCACCTGCGGCAGCTCGTTATTCTCGACTCGGACCACTACTTCCTGCACGTGCTGGTGAGGCGAAGGGGAGGGGAGTGTGGAACGAGGCAAGAGAAGGGGGGTTGGGGTTGCAGGGAGAGGGGGGTTGGGGTGACTGGGTTGTGAGAGCTTTCGGACCAATACTCCTGCACGTGCTGGTAAGGCGAAGGGGGAGGAGGAGAGGAAGAGCGAGGGTGGGAAGACGGAGGCAGTTGGGGTTGCAGAGGTAGAAGAGTGTTGGCAGGGGAGGGAGGGGGAGGTTTCGGGACTTGGCAGTTTCCTTCCTCTCACTCACCTGCTCCGGCTCATCATCCCCGACCCGACTCGATACCCCCAACTCTGATTACTACTTTCTGCACGTGCTGGTGAATGGGGGAGGGGTGAGGGAGAGAAAATGCATTCTCTGAGGTGCCTTATGGGATCGTACTTTCCTCCATATGCCTGCCCCTACCATGCCCGCGTTCCCACACATGCCCTGTCAACCCCTCGTCAACACGCATCACTGTCATGCCCTGTCGTACCCCTATCCCCTCCCACTCCCTGTCGTGCCCTTCCCCCCCTGCATTCAGGAGCGGAGACTGGAAGAAGAAAAGCTTCTCCTGGCTGCTGCCGCGGGAACTAGTGCCAAGCCCCACACCATGATCACCAGCAGCAGCAGCACCACCAATGGCAGCAGCACAAGTATCAGCACGAACAAGGCGTACTTCACACCGACGAGGTCGGATGCATTCGTGACGGCATTCCGCTTCTGGATGGATAACTATGCCGGGGGAGGCGTTGCCTGGCCCTCCTACGTCAACCCTGCGCTTCCTCCCGCTCTGCCCAAGCAGCAAGTCATGGACAGGTCAGAACTCCAAACATTCCTCCCATCACCATTCCGCGTGCGCTTTGTACGCCTGATTCTTATGGGGAGGAAGGGGAAGGGATTGTGCATAAACACTTCACCTCTTCCTGGTTGTTTCTCCAGTATATGTTGTCCTTGGTTCTACCGTTCTCGTTCAAGCCCCCTGGCCTGTTGTCTTCTTGCTTGCCCGTTGTCCCCTCTGAAGTCTCTGTTTCTCTGTTCCTCTGTTCTTCTGTTCCTCTGTTCCTCTGTTCCTCTGTTCTTCTGTTCTTCTGTTCCTCTGTTCCTCTGTTCTTCTGTTCCTCTGTTCTTCTGTTCCTCTGTTCCTCTGTTCTTCTGTTCCTCTGTTCTTCTGTTCCTCTGTTCCTCTGTTCCTCTGTTCCTCTGTTCCTCTGTTCCTCTGTGTCTCTTCCTGCCCCCGAGCAGGCAAGTGAGCCACATCAGCATCTGCAAGACATGCCAGTCAGCCCAGCGCCTTGCATCTCGTGTGCGACTTGCCTTGTGGGCCGCGGCTTTTGCCTGCCTTGCTCTCCTCGCCCTGCTCCCCACCCTCGCCGCTCTCCAACGATTGCCCTTCTCCCTCGGCATTGCTGTGCCTCTTGCCATTGGGGCTCTGCTTTTTGCCACAGCTGCCCATTTTGTGGGTCGATTTATCGAGCGTACATTCTATTATAGCGAGTACGTGCATGCACTCGTGGAGTGAGGCTGGGACTCCTTGTAGACACTTTTCGCCGGATGTGCCTTACGTGTTTCAAGGAATTACATCTGTTTGATAAACATCAACACCAACAACCAATACTGGTTTTTGAAACGATGATACACATTCGGTGGAGGCCGCGTACCCTACCAGGTATTCAACCTATTGAAGGCTCAACAATCTCCTGCCAAGTACACCGAAGCAAAATGAGAAGCGCTTGACACAACATGAGCATTCTTCACAGGGTAGTAGTAGACCACTCCAAACTGGCCCTTAGTTGAACTGTTCCGTGCTACCATCTCTAGGATGAAGGCGAAAGTATGTTTCCATTTTCTGCAGGCGTATGACAAGGAAGCAGGGAAAAGAGCTGTATATTGCGGTGCCAAGAGGATGGGGAAACTTGCACAGCGGAAACTGGCCGAGTCATACAACGATCTACATGCGGTAGAGAAGCAGCAGCTCAATATTGTGGCTAGAACATTGTTCATTTTTGTTTTGTATAAACTTTGAACGGTTTTATTCTGAGGCCGTCACATAACAATATTTTTCATGGTGGCCTCTCTTTTTGACGAATGTTGTATATTTCTGCTATATATATATATATATATATATATATATATATTTAGCTCACACATTTCTCCCATGTCTCACATATTTACGAAGTTTGTCCAACCAGTCGCAGACTGTTTACGTGATCCTGTTGGGTTTGATTGTCAGCCTTGCAAACTTGATTGGTGCACGACGCAGCTCCCAAAACTCGTTTCGCGACGGAGCATGCACCGTTACCACATTCGCCTCTCTAAGTGTTGTACACGCGTTTCCCACTCGGCGACCGACGTGGCTGGCGGATGAGCATAGGTGGCAGCCTAGCCCTCTCTTGGCCTCTCGTGGGCGTGCCCTGAAGGTTCGAGCCTATCCATTTTTCGCCATCCTTTGCCACTGGCAAATCTTTGTGCCAGATAGGCAGCACCAATCCCATGTTCCCGAAGGCTGAGCCTCGTGTTGGGAGCTCATATTTCTTGTGCCAAGGCACTTTTTCATTCACGTCACGCCCATCTCTCCACAGCCAACCTCGTGTAGCCCTCGTGCAGCTCTCTCAACCCTCATCCTTCAGAAATGGCTGCCCTTGCCGCTACCATGGCTGTTGCCCCCGTGGCCTCCCTCAAGGCCTCCACCACCCTGAAGACTAGCGTCGCTAAGACCTTCAAGGTTGCTCCTTCCGCTGCTCGCGTCTCCATGGCCTCCTACAAGGTCACCTTCGAGACCCCCAGCGGTACCTCCACCATCGATGTCGCTGACGACGTGTACATCCTCGACGCCGCTGAGGAGGCCGGACTCGACCTGCCCTACTCCTGCAGAGCTGGTGCTTGCTCGTCTTGCGCCGGCAAGGTCACCGCCGGCAGCGTTGACCAGTCTGGCCAGTCCTACCTTGATGACGACCAGATGGCCAAGGGCTTCGTCCTGACCTGCATCGCCTACCCCACCTCCGACCTGACCGTCCAGACCCACCAGGAGGACAGCCTCTACTAAAAGGTGATCTTGGATTTTTGTTAGGTCCATCGGACATGTTTTTGAATGGTAAATGTGTAGAAGCAGGCTGAAGCCTTGTGGATACGATTGATCCTTCCGAAACTGTCTAATGAAATTCTTTCTTGCTCATTTGCTAAGTAATAACGGTAAGAAGTGGCTTTGGACACCGAACAAATATATTGCTGTCATTGAGATATGGTGGTTATCCTGTCGCTTAAACAAAGATGTTTAGTCTCGATCCATCAGTGATCAGAACAAGTGCATGTCACACTAGAGCACGAGATTACTTTGGGAATGAATCTTGGAATGTTATTTTGGAATATCCAGCATTACATCAATATACTGCCATGCTGACCGCCAGCTTAAGATGTGCAGGTGGGTGGTGACCCTTCAGCTTTGAACCCCTTTCTAGATAGGAAAGAAACGATCAGAGGCGCTGCTATGTTAGCCACCAGCTTAATGTGCAAAGGTGGTTTAAGACGTCCAGCGTTGATCCCCTTCCTGCCACCATGTTGTCCACCAGCCTAATGTGGAGAGGTGGTGATGATCTCTAGCTTTAGTCCCCTACTTTCTCCAAAATTTTCACTCACGTCGGCTGAATGTAGTCTTGGACCAATTGCCATCAAAAGGGGTGAAGGGCAATGGAGATAGTCACTTAATCAAGAGTGAACCAGAAATGTTCCCACATGCCTAATTTGACATGGCAACATCGTTTACACACAATAATATGAAGGAGCTACGTCGTCTGTGAAATTATCCAATTCAAGTAAAACCCTTTTACAATTCCTGCACGTATTGATAGGAGCCGATACACATTCTTAGCTATTTCCGCTCACGATGCTATTTTTTTGCAAGGTTTATGAGGGTATGCTGATGCTTTGTTAGAAATTACGCAGTGCCCGAACGCAACATGGACAGCTATTGTGGGCTAGCACGAATGTAAGGCAATGAATACATACGGGAGAATCGCCTCCTTACTTCGGAGTGCCAATACACCACCGATTGAAAGCAGGCATGATTTCTGGAGAACGATCGGCCACTGCTCTTCTAACGAAGTTCATCTTGTATTTTTGCCCTTGCTTCAAATCGTCAGCCATGCCATGGGCTCTGACCTCCTTGTTCACACTGCAAAAGGAACACGCATAGCGAGCAAGAGTAAGAACGTGAACCACTTGCCAGCATAGCGCTGGTATCGCGAAATGTCGAGACGGAGGAGTCTGAAGGAACACAATCCTGCATCGTACCTGATTCCAGGATCCGCGATAATCTTCCGTGTCAGTGCGAAGATGGAGAGCCCAGCTGCAGTTCCCACTGCCGCAAGGAGCGGGTAAACCTGTTGAAAAGGCAAGTACCACACGCAAAAGCGGGTCCGACATAATTAAAAGCAGGGAAAAGGCTAAGTGCACACACAGACGACAGACTCCCAAACACTGACCTCGGGCTTAATCCATCTGCTTGCAGTGGAAGCCATGGTAGGATTTCAAGAAGGGAGTGACGAGACGACCACTGGGAAGAATGGAGGACTGAGCCAGGGTAAAATGAAAGCCGACAAGTTCATATACTCCCAGCAATCGGCTCAGGGTTGGATCGAGTTGGAGGACCCAGGTCCGCTGATCAGAGACATCCGCCTGTTGTGCGAGGCTGGTTGTTGGGGACAGGCTGAGTGAAGAAACTGGGGGGATCACCCAATGGTCGAGGACTCGAGGCGCCCTTGGTGATTGATGTGTGACGCTTCGTCAACAACCCAATCGATACCTTCGTGGTTGGCAAGTTCACTTTGATTGGTTCTGCCTCCGCCTCCTTTGAAGAAGCGGGCAAAAGCTCCAGTTCAGCTGTCCCAAGCCATCCACGTGTGGAGCACGACAGCCGTGGATGCGTCGGTGTGTCAAAAAGGGTGGATGTCAACGGCCAAGTTTAGAGATGGCACGTGAAAGGTCCAGCTTCGAGCTCTTGAGATTGCATGGTGGATGTTGTCGCTGTGTACACTTTATTTTTACTAGTTGTAGGTAACAAATAGTCCATACCATATGCTATAATTTCTCTGCAAGGGCAGTACAACCTGCTATTTAGCGAAATGGACAGATAATTACCATATAGATTGGCCAGGACTAGTTATGATTTTGGATGCACTGAAAATTGTCGCAAGGCAGCAAATGGGCTGATGTGCTTGGAAAACATTTCAGACTAAGGACGGACCCATGAACATCTACAATATGTACACATGAGATTGGGCGTCTAACTATGTACAAGAATATACAAGGTCAACTCTTCCTCACTCCTGCTGCCCAGACACTTTGGCACCAACTCCGGCAGGTCAGGGTGGAAGAGGATGACCTCACCAGTTCTCTTTCAGCAGCTTGGCCTTCTCCAATATGAATTTTCCTTCCTTATACTTCTGCAAGTCCTCGTAGGCCTTCTCGTACTTCCACCCGAGGACCTCATGGCACTCAGCGCAGTAAATATCAGCCACTGTGTGCAGTCCCGTGATGAGCAGCCTGTCTTCCTTGGGACCTACCATAACATTCACTACGTTTGAGAAAAGGTACGCCCTGCCGTGTCGTCCCTGCGCCCACCAAAATCAGTGACTTTGTCAGAATTCAGGCGCGTCACGGTGAGTAAAGGTGGGACCATGAGAAGCGATGTCAAATGCCTTACCTGGAAAGATTTTGATATAATCTCGTCGTGGTCCGCAGCATGGCTACGACAATTGCTACAGCTGTAGATACGGGCGCCTTGGAGGTAGTGCTTGAATGGTCGACCCATGGTGTACGTCAGAAGTAGTGGAACTAGTAGCTCATGCGTACGCTATGTCAAGTGCAACATATGATGAAGAGAGGAATGCGGTTGAGCGAAAAAGCACATCAATTTGGCCCTGGTTCCTCCCAGGTGGAGCAAGCCCGGACACAACCCTAGGACTTCTGGGCAGGCAAGGCCCCATGGAATTGTGGATTTCGCCACTGCCTCAACAAGCCTCCACCATTGTGGATTTGATCTGCAAGAGCCACCCCGAAAAAGCCTGTGTTGCTTGTTTCTGGAATATTCATGGTATGGGTTGTTTTAGAAGGCTACCCGAAGCCCAGGAGCTATTGTCTCTGTGGCCCTCGGATTACAATTTCAGTGTGGATCCGGGGTGGTGCAGCGGAAACAAGAATTTGCTAACAATTTGGCCCAGACGCTCCAGTCATGAGTCCGAAATATTCGGGGACTGCCAAACAGGCTGGCTCTGTGTCACCACTTCGTGTCGACCAATGAGCAATCCTCAAAGGCAGCCAATGGGCTTGTGCCATCCCACCACCTGACATGGACCTCATTTCTCATGTCCTGGGGGAGTGCTGACGCAGCCGCAGCACAAATGATGACAGCCTTCGCAGAAGATTTGTATGTATCCTCTATACGATACCTCGATTTACGGTATGTATAGAAATTGAATCGTTTCAGTTACCCAAACTCGTTGGTGAAGCATTTTCTCACAACAAACCTCGTCTTGCCCTTGCTCGTACAAGATTCTCTGCACGCAGGCACAAGGACATTTCGTCAGTGCCGTCACCACTGTTCACTGAATGCTGCCACTGGCTGGCGCAAGTCCCCCAACAAAGCCCCATGCGCGATGCGAAGCGCGTGTCTTCCTCCCCCCCCAACACCCTGTCCTTACCCCGTCGTGCGCCACAAAAAGGCCCACCGCAGGGCGCATGTCAGTCAGTCACTGACTGCCAGCCCCCTTCCCCCCGCTTCCATTCCCGCACATCCCCCCTCCAACCCAACTCATTCTCTCTTCCTCACTTCCACTCCCCCTCTCCTCCCTTTCCCCTTTGGTCCTTGTTCTTCCCCCCTACCCTCCGTCCAGAGCTCCCTCCCCTCTCTGCCTCCGTTATTACAAGACAAGTCCCTGCAGAGAAGGGATAGTCTCTAATAAGCATTCTAGTAGGAGGGTCTCACAGCTCTGTGCGGTCCGGCTCTCCTCCTGCAGCTATGGCGGAACGCGCTTCGTCTACCCTCCTCATTTTCGCAATGCTGCTGCTTGCCTCCAGCAGCGGCAACGCCTTAGATACCACCACCTATCCCTCCGTCGGCCTCCACTCCCCTGCTCTGGAGAAACCACAAGATGCATCCTCAGCCGTCGATGTTCGCAGCACGATTCTCGGCGATCCCAAGGTGTCCGTCGCCGTGAAATTCATCTCCAACCTGCTCACGCGCACCGCGGCGCGCCTCACGGTCGGCAACTACGAAAAGGCCGCCCGGGAGCTCTTCGCGCCGCTCGCGCTCGTGCTCCCGCCGGACCAGCCGCTACAGTACCTCCCGGATCCGATCTCCCAAGCCACCTTCTTGCAGCAGCGGCAAGATTTGATTGGCGCGACGTTCGCCGTCACGCGCCTCGACGTGTACGAGCCGACGCCGAAACGCTACCTGGACTATTCCATCGCGACGCTCGGCTCCATGTGGACCCTGCAGGGCCCCGCTAAGTTCGTCTTCCTCTGGGACCTTGTGCGTGACGACGGGCTTGCCGCTGCTGCCGGCGCCGTGGCCGATAACGCGGCGGCCAGTAACTCTGCCGGCGACGCGGCCGACAACTCGCTCTACATTTGGGCGGTTAGCTGGATGGCGTGGAACTACGACTTCCCTGCTCCTAAGAAATCGCCGCCTCCGCCTCCCCCCCGTCCGACCCCTCCGCACCCCCCATCCCCCTCGGCGGCGGACGGCCTCCGTGAGGGCCTCCGCGAGGCGCTTCTCCGCGGAGAAACCGGCGGCGCGTCCGAGCTTTTCCCCCGCGCGGCGCGGTCGGACTTGGAGGCGGAAATGCAGGCGGCGTGGTTCGCGGAGGCGCAGGCGGCGGCGACGGCCGCCGGGTTCGGCGGCGGGCCGAGGCCGATTCGGCCGGACGCGGGGTCGGCGCTGGTGGGCATTCAGGCGTCTATCGAGGCGTTCTTTAACGCGCTCGCGTCGGGGGATCTGCTGGGCGCGAGCCGCCTGTTCGGACCGCCGGGCGAGCCGACGCTGCTGCTCCCGCCGGGCTCGCGCGCGCTCATGCTCGCGACTACCCCGCAGATTCTGCAGCTGCTAGGGGTGAGTGCGCGTGGAAGGAGGGGGAAGGGGAGGAAGAAACAGGGGGAAAGAGGGAGGGGGGGAGAGGGAGGGGGAGGGGTGGCGGGGAGGAAGGGAAGGGGGTTCTTGGTGTGGGGAGAAAGGAACTGGGTGGGCGGAGGGAATGGGCGGAGACTCCATGTTGAGTCGTTATTGAGTGGTTTTGTGTTTGAATAAACTGATCTAGAGTCCTCCCTCCCCTTCCCCCCTCTCCCGTCCGCCCCTCCCATCCCCACCCATACTCCCTGTCTTTCCCATCTGCTCACCCCTCGTCCCAATGCTCCTTCAAACGTCTGCTCCCCTCGTTTCTCCTGCAATCTCCCTCTCCCCACCTCCCCCTTCGCCCTTACCTCGCCTGTCCTGGTTCCCCCCCATCTCATCTAACCCGCTTCGTCACCCTCTCTCTCCATTCCACCCACTCACTGCGCCCTGCGTCCACCAACCCACCCACTCCACCCTTCACCCCTCTCTCCGCCCCTTCACCCACCCACGCACAGGACTTCGTGGCGAGCGGGTCGACGGTGGCGGTGACAATGGAGGAGGTGATAGTGGTGAAGTACAAGGTCAGCAGCTACCCCATCAAGGGGCAGAACCCGTACCACGTCATCACGCGCGGCTCGTATACGCTGCTCGATAACACTGGTGAGCGAGGGGGGGAAATGGGGGGAGGGAGGGAAGGGAGGGAAGGGAGGGAAGGGAGGGAAGGGAGGGAAGGGAGGGAAGGGAGGGAAGGGAGGGAAGGGAGGGAAGGGAGGGAAGGGAGGGAAGGGAGGGAAGGGAGGGAAGGGAGGGAAGGGAGGGAAGGGAGGGAAGGGAGGGAAGGGAGGGAAGGGAGGGAAGGGAAGAGGGAAGGGAGGGAGCGGCGGAGGGAAGGAGGGAAGGGATGGATGGAGGGAGGGAGGGGGGAGAGGTTACAGGCAACACTAGGTGTTCTTTTCCCTGCTGTGCGCTTCATGCTGAAACAATTGCGCTCGACCGTACGAGTCACGCAGCGACTTGTACATTGTTCTTGGCATGTTGGGTATCTCAATGAGTCCTGCATTTGCGTGTTCCATGTGCTGTCTGCCATTTGCGTGTGCGCTGGTGAGCAAGTGTGCGCACATGTGTGTGTGTGTGCGTGCGCGTGCGTGCATATGTGGGTGGGTGGTTGTGTGTGTGTGAGTGCCTCCGTGCGTTTGTGCGTGCGCGTGAATGTGCGAATGCCTCCCTGCACGTGCATGTGCATCTTCCATCTCATCTCATCTCATATCTGTTTTGTGTGTTGATACACATCTCATCTACATGCATGGTGCTGTGCTATGCTGTGTTATCTCCCACCAGCCACGGAGACAGACAGGGGGAAGGTGGTGCAGCTGTGGACGCAGTACCTGCCGCCGCTGCCCCCACCACCGGCACCGCAGCCAGCACCGGCTGCAGCGGGCATCACGTGGTACTTCAGTTGGGCGCAATGGAGCTCTGACGGCCCTCTCACCCCTCCGGAGCTGCTGGCCTAGAGCACTGCCACTGCCACTGCCACTGCGTGCGTGCATGTGTGCATGCCAGCGCGCGAGTTTGTGTGTGCGAGTCTGCTGTGTGTGTGCGCTGCTAGTGTGCTCGCTCACGCGTAACACCTAGTAAAAGCGTGGTTAACTCGCTCCCCAGTCACCGTCCTCCACAAGACACAGCTATCCCCTAGAATAAACTGCTGTCAGGGCGTGCTGCACACAGTGTGCAGTGCAGCTCCACCTATCCACCTATCCACCGATCCACCTCATTAACACTGTCTCGTGTGGCAAGTGCTCAAGCAGCGCTAGCGACTGGAACACTGAGGTGCGGATTAGTCTGCTTATTGTCTAATTATTACTACGCTTTTTCGCATAAGGCTTAGGTGCGATGCTCTTTCCTTGTTAGGGGCATTTAGGGGAGTAGCTCTATGTATAATTGATTTGCTGTCTGGATTGACGTCACCTGTGTTTTGTCAGCCGTCAGTTCTACGGTAATATGATTTCTTTTTCCCGGCGCTGTATTGCTTGTACAGCACCCAGTTTCTCTATAAAGACCCAAATCTTAGACATGTACGCGCTCGGCGCGCATCTCGTAACCCAGCCGAAGCAGGTCAAAGTAGGCAAAAGAATCTCTGCGCCAGGAGGCAACGCGACACCCGCGCGACCCACCCGCCACTATTGAGTCGAGTGACTGGCTGTGCTCGCTTTGCGCTTTCGCCACGAGTTCGCCAGTTCGCGGGTTTGCCAGTTCGACATTCACCGACATAACTGCTGCCGGCTAGCACGCCATGTCGCGTCCGCGACATCGCATCATATCCGGCGGGCAAACCGGCGCGGATCGCGGGGCGCTGATGGCCGCGCGCGCGCTCGGCCTCCCGTTCGGCGGAAGCTGCCCCAAGGGCCGGCGCGCGGAGGACGGGGAGATCCCGCGGGCGCTGGCGGAGCAAATGGCGGAGCTCCCGCAGGCGGAATACAGTGCGCGAACAGAGCGGAACGTGGCGGACGGTGATGTGACGCTGGTGCTGCTGCTGCAGAGCCCGTGGGAGGGAGGGGAGGCAGGAGAAGCAGGAGGAGCAGGAGGAGCAGGAGGAGCAGACGAAGCAGGGGGAGCAGGAGGAGCAGGAAAGGCAGGAGGAGCAGGAGGGGCAGGAGCAGCAGGGGGGGTTGTTTGGGCAGCTGCTGAGGCGATGGAGTGCGGAAAGACTCCTGCTCCTCCGCCTCTTGCTCCTCAAGGGGGAAGTGGGAGTGAGACGGGGGAGTGGGTGGGAGAGAGGGCGGTGGGGCGAGTGTGGCAGGTGAGTGCAGGCACGTGGCTGACACTGGAGCTGGCAGCAAGGTATGGCAAGCCGTGTATGGTGGCCGTGCTGCCTCCGTGCTGCCGCTGCATGGAGAGATGCCATGGTGTTGATCGTGCATTGCCGTATGGTGGTCATGCCGATGCTGCTGATCTGTGCGAGGAGGAGCAACAGCAGCAACAGCAGCAGGAGCATAGTGAGAGCAGCAAGGTGTGCTCCAAGCGGTGGCAGGACAGAGAGGGAGCATGTGAGGAGAGGCTGGGAGGTGTGGTGGAGAGGGTGTGTGTGTGGCTGGAGCAGCAGGAGGCGCGTGTGGTGAACGTGGCAGGGCCCAGGGAGAGTGAACAACCAGGGCTCACTCGTGCTGCTGTGTGCTTCACCACTGCTCTGCTGCTGCGGTGGAAGGAGCCATTGCCATAGGTTCAGTTCGGTTCAGCTCTCTTGACTCATGCAGGGCGCGGCACTACACATTCTGGCAACGTTTAGGCAGCATATTGCTGGTTACCAACCTTCTTTTGGAAAGAACAGCTGTACTGATACCGTATGTCTAAATAACAAAAACGCACGTTTTCTGTGATTTGTTAGCTCCTGCTAACACAGTGGGTCAAAGAAACCTACGTCTCAGCAATCAATACACCTTTCCCGCATAATTGCTCTTATGCACATCATTTTTATGTACACCATAGTGTGAAGGACACGATTCATGAATCACAAGGTATACAACAGGTGATCTTGTGATGCCCACGATCTTCAACTACACGATCTTGTGATCTTGTGGAGTATATAAATACCGTGATAGATTGTACCTTGATCTGGAAGCACATCTTTCCCTGCAGACTGGAGCCAGCGTTTTTGTCCCAAGATTATGAAATATATTGTCTTGTGCTGTGTGGTTGGAAGGGTCACTACCTCACAGCACACAGATGAATTGGGCTTGGCAGGACAATGGACCTGTGCATGCACACACACACACACACATGCATTCACGCATGCTGGACACCTGGTGATCGCACGCCCACATGCACTGTGCACACAAGCACACGTGGAGGAGACCTGTAAGCCACCAATCAGATTTGATTTCAGCCAGCCACAGATTGACTCCCGGGACTTTCCAAGTCAGCGGAGGGGGTTTCTTATGCCCCTCCTCCCACAATACAGTACAGCCCAGTGCCCACCCACAACTAATCCGCGTGTGATGAGTCGATTTTTGAGTCGACTAAAAAATCGACTCATCACACGCGGTTTTTTACGCCCCTCCTTCCACACTACAGCCCAGTGCCCACCCACAACCACACCGCCAACAAATCCAACCACCCACCCACCTGCCCACCAGGCCCCAACCACCCCCACCTACAAACAATTCACAACTGTGCACCCAACCATGCTCCCCCATCCCCCAACCATAACCACCCACCCAGAATACCCACCACTCACCCACAACCACCCGCCCACCAACAGGCTCCACTCCCCACCGACCCACACCCAACAATGACCCACCTACTCACAACCACCCACCTTCACCACCAAACCACCACCCACACACACGCACCCACAACCCATCCAAAACCACCCGGCACCCGCCCAACCCAATCACCCACCGCCCCACACACCCGTTAACACCACCAGCACACCAGCACCCACCAACCTAAACACAAGTACCCCACCCACTACCAACCAACACCCATCCACAACCAACCACCCCCAACCACCGGCCTGCCCGCCCCACTCTCACAACCATACATGAACACACACCACCCGGCTCAAATCTCTACTCTACCCACCCACCTCGCCACTCCCACCCCTCCACCACCCACCACTCTCACCTCTCACTGAAAATCACCCTTTTCTCACCACCCACTGTCACCACCCACTCTCATCACCCACTCTCACCACTCACTCAATCTAACAACCTCACCATACCCATCCACAACTCATTGTAACCACTCACTCTCACCACTCAGTATCACCACACTCTTACCATTCTGGCCACTCAATCTCACCACACTCTCACCACTCAAACTCACCACTCAAACCACTCATCCTCACCACCTACTGTGCTCCTCTCATGCAACAGGAGGCATCAGTATCATACGGCTCATCATATGCCACCAACCAAGCATGAGCATCATGCTCTCATGCAACAGGTGGCATCAGTGCCACCCAAGGGGACCCAACTCCTTTCACTTGCTCTCACCCACCCAAGGGGACTCAACCCCTTTCATGAGCATCATGCTTCCATGCTTAAGGGTGGCATCAGTGCAACTCATCATGTGCCCCCAACCAGCCAAGCATGAGCATCATGCTTCCATGCTTGAGGGTGGCATCAGTGCCATATGGCTCATCATACGCCACCGCCAACCCCACTGCCTCTCACCACCATCACCCCATCACCACCATCACCACACAGCCCACCCATCCCCTCCCCACCTTACCTGCCAGCAGTACGAGCAGCAGACAGCCCACTCCCCTACGGAAACAGCACCCCCAGGGGCTGTGCCTTGAAGGGCGAGGTGTGGTAGTGGAAAATTGCTTCCAGCCCAAGACTCAAATCCTGCCCCTGACGTAGCTAGAGCTGACGCGAACCAGAGTCGCCGGCCGGTCGACTCTGACGGTGCCCTTTAAGCCTTAACGTCAGGTTAGTTACTTGAGCACCGAGTGCCGTGCCGCGCAGATTCCACCCACCACACCCCGACCCACAAGACACAACCTCAGAGAGTGCTGCCCCTAAGGAAGTGAACTGCCCACTTGCTCCCACGCTTCCCCCCCACCCCCCTCCTCTCATGCCCCTTCACCCCATGCCTGCTTACCTCTAAGTACCTTGCGTAGCGCCATGATGCCTCAGCCGTGTTGGAAAGTGGGGAGGGGGGAGAGGGAGGGAAGGGGGGGAGGATGAAAGGAGAGATGCCACTGTCCCGCCCATGCTCGAGTGCTCCCTCCCCCTCTCAGGCTGCAAGGGGTGGGGGTAGAGAAGAGAGGAGGGGATCAGATCTCCATACCTCACCTGTTACCTCACCTGATACCATACCACACCTCGCTCACGACTCGACCTAGCCTAGCCTGCCCTCTAGCCCTCCACCCCCCACTGCTACTGCTGCTGCTGCTGCTGCAACTGCTGCTGCCGGTCTGCTACTCAGCTTCTCTGCTACAGTCTTCACTCGATGCCAAATGACCTGGTAGGGAAGAAGGGGGGAAAGTGACAGTGAGTTAGTTGGCATGATCATAAAAACAAAACAAAACTGAAGTTGGCAGAAACGAGACAGCAGAATTGAAGAGGAGAAACAGAGAGGAATGAGGGCAGAGAGGGGAGGTGACGTACCTTGACAGGCCAAGCCCACCCCGATACTCTCCCTTGTGCTAGCGACTGGCAGTGCTGCCTCCCTCCCATCCCCACGGGTACCTGCACGGCCACAGGGGAGGGGCGTGAGGGAGCGTCGGTGTTGACCCCCGCCCCTCCCCTCCACCTGCAAGGCACACGCAGAGCTGGTCAGTGGGCAGCGAGGGGAGGAAGGGTGAGAGTGCAAGAGCGAGAAGAGATTTTGCAAGGCGAGAGCAGGGAGGGGCCACTGGTGGAGGCCAAGCCACAAAGCACAGACCCCAAGGGGTGAACCTGAGAAGGTACCTGCACCTGAAGGGGTTACCTGCACCTGAAGGGGTTACCTGCACCTGAAGAGGTTATCTGCACCTGATCTACACCTGAGGGGTTACCTGGAGTTGGGGGTTCTGTGGCATGTGAGGCGGACCTAACCAGTGGCACTGTTTCAAGAGGAAGTGACCTGGTAAGGGGGGAAGAAAGGGGGTAAGTAGGAGCAAGTGAGTTGGCATGACTAGCAAGAAAACAAACTAAAGCAGAGGTAAACGAGAAGGCGGAATTGAAGAGCAGAATGGGAGAGGGATGAGGGCAAGAGAGAGGCTCACGTACCTCGAGAGGCCAAGCCCACCCCGATACTCTCCCTTGTGGCAGCGACTGGCAGTGCTGCCTCCCTCCCATCCCCACAGGTACCTGCACGGCCACAGGGGAGGGGCGTGAAGGAGCGTCGGTGTTGACCCCCGCCCCTCCCCTCCACCTGCAAGGCACACGCAGAGCTGGTCAGTGGGCAGTCTAGACATCAGCAGAGTAGACAAGTGCGAGTCACACAGGCAGGGCGATAGTAGAGGGGAAGGGCCACTGGAGGGGGCAGGAGCACAAGGCACAGACTGCAGGGGGACCTAAGGAGGTAACCTGAACCTGAGCCGAAGAGCTTACCTGAAGTCAGGGGGAGAGTCTGTGGCTTGTGAGGATGGCCCCAACCAGTGGCGAAAGTTTCAGGGGCAAAGAGAAAGCAAGGAGTATGAACAATGCGCAGCAAGCAAAGGTGAGGGACGAATATGAGGAAGAGTGACTTAATTGGCAGATGAAGAGCCGCCAACAGGGGCTGTTGCCTCATCCCTCCCTCCCCTCCCCTTCTCCTCCAGTGATCCCTCTGCTGCCTTCCCCGCCTCTGCTGCCCGCCCTGGTTCTCCCCTCGCCTGCTGCTCGCCTGCTGCCCTCCCCCTGGCTTGTGAAGGCCTGGCAGGGTCAGGATGGACGCTGTTCGCTTGTCCCCGCCTTTCACCTCAGCGGCTACGCAAGACAAACGACACCGACTTTTTTCGAGCGAGATTCCGTTGACGAAGGCGGGAGTAGCGGGATTTTGCTGGTGAACGTTGGACCCCGTGGCCTAGGAACCGTCGATTGTTGCCCGATCTGGAGGCGCAGAGTCGTCGTGTCAGTTTGGAACGCGGCAAGCCCAATGGTTTGAATTCGAAGCTCTCGTTCCTACCACTAAAAGCGAAGTGAATCTCAGCCGTGGATAAAGAATCTAGGCAAGCAGCTGCGGTTGAGATCTGAAGGTTGAGCTGATCCACTCTCAGACTCTAGTCTGGGCAAAATGGGCGACGATGAATTTCCCATTCTCGCACCTATGCTGTTACTCGTCGTTGATTGGTCAAGGAAATTATCTTCTGACACCCGCTGGCTCCTCTGATCCGAGGAGAAATGTGCTGATCTAATTACCGAAACTGGTTCCGAGCAGGTACACCAACCAAGTTTAGACAACTTCTGGAAACACTTGAATAGGCATTCTGAACAACTATTGAATACAACACTTCTTGCCATCCTGAATTTTTGGGTTGCGTAGCAACCCCTTTATATTTGGTAGCACTTTTTTCGGTCGACTCGAATGAACAGTGCATTTTTTGTCACTTTCCCAACGTCTGAAGCACTCGCTTTAACGTTTTGAGAACGTGTGCTTCAAATGTGTGGAGATGACAGCCACTGCTACACAAGAGTCTCCAAAAAAAGTGAAACCAAATGAGACCAATTGTTCCAAAATCGTCGATAAATACGGCGAATGGAAACAATTGGTAGCCTTGCAATATTTTAGGGTGCATCACACACAACTGATGAGACAAAAAAATCAACGTGGATGCAAATTACGGTATTTGCATCTACCGTATAGAACATGTGCAAAACGACAACACTCAACAACATTAAATGTCAGTGAATGGCAAAATGCATCAGCGCTACAATAGCGATGGATCCGGTATGCTAAGGCGAGCAAAGCTGCCCCAACAACGATCCCCACCTCAATTGCAGACCTGACACACTTTAACATGACACCTTACAACAAACACGAACGAGGACATGCGACATTGTACTGGTACAATGACGACAACGCATAACAATAATTAAGTGTCTTGGGGAGAATGCTAAAATGCATCGATGATGCAACAAAGGTTGGTCTGGCACGCTAAGGCTATTGCCCCACCGGCGATCACAACCTGAGTTGCATACACGAGGCACTTCAGCACACGCCTTGAGACAGACACAAAACGAATCGAACAACACGACTGCACATACATATCTCACACAGGCTCACACACTCACATACACACTGACACGCACGCAAACAAGCACTGATACATACGGATAGTCAATACCCAATCATCATGAAATTCAGCTATTAATAAATAATCACTAGCCAATCACCCCTTACCCTCCCTACACCCCTCCCTCCCCCCCTCCCCCCCCTCCCCACCTCCCTCCCTCCCTCCCTCCCTCCCTCCCTCCCTCCCTCCCTCCCTCCCTCCCTCCCTCCCTCCCTCCCTCCCTCCCTCCCTCCCTCCCTCCCTCATCTCCCTCCCACCCCCTCCCTCATCTCCCTTCTCTGCCAAACAAAATCAACGAATGCAGCTCACGCGCCCTGCACAGAGCAAAAACAGAGAATGCAAAGCACGCACCTCGCACAAGAAAAAGGCAAAAACAAATAATGTTCACACACTGTACAAAAAAATCAATAAAACGCATAATGCTTCCCCGCGAGGAGGCCAAGCAGGAAACTTGACAAGCAATGGAATTTTGACAACTCACAGAGGTAAAATGGTATGGCACCACAGTACTATGCCAACATGATGCAATACATTACAGCCACCCTCACGTTCAACTTCACAATCACGCTCAACTCACTCTTGTACTCAATCTTGCACCCACTCACACACAGACACACAAAGACTCTCAACTTTCTTAGACACTCTCTGAGAAACAAACACACAAACCTACACGCTCTCTCACGCGCTCTCTCACACGCACTCTCTTGCACACTCTCACGCGCACTTTCACGCGGACTCTCACGCGCTCTCTCACGCGCTCCCTCACGCGCTCCCTCACGCGCTCTCTCACGCGCACTCTCACGCCCTCTCTCACTCGCTCCCTCACGCGTCTCTCGCGCGCTCACTCACGCGCACTCTCACGCGCTCACTCACGCGCACTCTCACGTGCACTCTCACGCGCCCTCTCACGCACCCTCTCACGCGCTCTCTCACGCGCTCCCTCACCTGCCCTCTCACGCGGCCTCTCACGCGCTTCCTCCCCTGCCCTCTCACGCGCTCCCTCACCTCACGCGGCCTCTCACGCGCACTCTCAAGCGCACACGCACTGTCACGCACTCTCTCACGTGCACTCTCACGCGCACTTTCACGCGCTCTCTCACACACTATCTCACGCGCGCACTCTTCTTACACGCTCTCTCACGCGCACTCTCACGTGCACTCTCACGCGCACTCTCATGCGCACTCTCACGCGCACTCTCACGCGCGCTCTCACACGCACTCTCACACGCTCCCTCACGCGCACTCTCACGCGCTCCCTCACGCGCGCTCTCACATGCGCTCTCACACGCGCTCTCACGCGCACTCTCACGCTCTCCCTCACGCGCTCTCTCACGTGCGCACTCTCACGCGCACTAACACGCGCACTTTCACGCGCTCTCTCACATGGCCTCTCACGCGGCCTCCTGGCGCCAGAGCGCTAATCGCCAAGGCGCAAGGCACCAGCGCACTAGGCGCCAGCACGTTAGGTGCCAGAGCGCAAGGCGCCAGCGCGCTAGGCGCCAGCGCGCTAGGCGCCAGCGCTTTAGACGCCAGCGCGCAAGGCGCCAGCGCGCAAGGCGCCAGCCCGCACGGCGCCAGCGCGCACGGCGCCAGCGCGCACGGCGCCAGCGCGCATAGGCGCCAGCGCGCAAGGAGCCAGCGCGTTAGGCGCCAGCGCGCAAGGCGTCAGCGCGCACGGCGCCAGCGCACACGGCGCCAGCGCGCACGGCACCAGCGCGCACGGAGCCAGCGCGCATAGGCGCCAGCGCGCAAGGCGCCAGCGCATTAGGCGCCAGCGCGTTACGCGCCAGCGCGCAAGGCGCCAGCGCGCACGGCGCCAGCGCGCACGGCGCCAGCGCGCAAGGCGCCAGCGCGCACGGCGCCAGCGCGCACGGCGCCAGCGCGCACGGCGCCAGCGCGCACGGCGCCATCGCGCATGGCGCCAGCGCGCAAGGCACCAGCGTGCACGGCGCCAGCGCGCACGGCGCCAGCGCGACCGGCGCCAGCGCGCATAGGCGCCAGCGCGTAAGGCGCCAGCGCGCAAACAGCCAGTGCGCTAGGCGCCAGCGCGTTAGGCGCCAGCGCTATACGGGCCAGCGAGTTAGGCGCCAACGCTATACGCGCCAGCGTGCTAGTTCCCGTGCGAACTCTCTCACTCGCTCTCCCTCTCTCCCTCTCTTCAAATGGTATTGCAATGCAAAAGGAGATCAATCGACAGACAGAGAACTTACGAAAAAATGTACGAAAGTAAATTATTTTTTCAGAGAGGAGGAGAAATGGACCGGGAAAGGACAACGTACCTGAGAATCACGGTGCCTCAGAGGTAGATTCGCCTTGGCGCTCGCGCTTGGCGCCTGTCGCCAGAGGCGACGGCGGGTAGGGAAGAGGAGGCGACGACGGGGAGGGAACGGAGAGGCGACGGCGGGGAGGGAGGGAGAGGCGACGACGGGGAGGGAGGGAGAGGCGACGACGGGGAGGGAGAGGCGATGGCGGGTGAGGAGGGAAAGGCAATGGCGGGAGGGAGGGAGAGGCGATTGCTAGGGTGGGAGGAAAACGCGATTGCTGGGTCGGTGGGAGGTAGCGGACAGCAGGGTGGGAGGGAGGGGAGGGGAGGCGATGGTTGGGTAGGAAGGTTTCAGGGAATGAACACTGTAGATTCTGTACTGTGCAGTTCTTGAATTCTTGCAATCGGAGTTAGTTGCCAAAGAATAGTCATGAAACATGTTTTTTCCAGAACACTACCGTGATGCTACTACTTCATCTGGAAACCATAACAAAACTTGGACAGTAAGAAAAAGCACACTAGATTTGGAAGCTAGTGTCACGTGAAAACACAAACGTAAACACGTGATACTTGTCAGCCTCCAACCCAACCACAACCCACTAGAACAACAACCTGATAGTATTACAATATTTTTTAGGCAATTGTTAAAATGTTTCTCAATTCTCTAACTAATATATACCATCAGAAATTCAAAACAATTAAACGAATACCATATTTTAAAATTATGAGATAGCAGAATAAGTGAATGTATTTTTATCAGTAAACGTTTTGTTTTTTCGTTCACTGTGAATGTAACGCGTACGCAACCCTTCCGACGTTAACGTCGAATCTTGTTCAGGTTGCAATTTCATGTTACCATCATAGCAACACCGCACATATACAACTGTATACCATAATTCAAATGTATACAACTTCAATCCTTGTTTGTCAATTTTGGTTAAGCGGCAAAAGGTTCCTACGAAACACCATATTTGGATGGTTTTTATTGAAGTGCTTATGGAAACAACTGTTTCAGAGTGCACTAGTATTGTCACACTCATGAAAAATGAACATAAACGTTTCAGCAGAATCCTTGCTGAAAACGGATGATCAGCCCAGTCCTCCCTCAGAATCTTAGGTGAAGGTAAAATCTGTTGGTGAGGGTATGAAAAATACAGGTACAAAGGGTACAAAAGAACCTGTGAGGGTACAAAGTAATCATGTACATGCACACATGTTCACAGATGAATGACCACTGCACACAAACCTGTATGCACAGGTGCGTATATGCATGCACACCCATTCTCACTGCACTCTCACCACTCACCCATGCACTCTCAACCTTTACACTCGTACCATTCACTCCCTTCACCACCACTCAAACCACTCATCCTCACCACCCTCTGTGCTCTCACTCTCACCACAGATCCACATATTAAATCTGGGCCTTTCAATAGTGTCCAAAAAAAAAAAACAGCCATACATTCCAGAAAATTGCCCTTTTCAGAACCTCAGAATAAAATTAAATAAGCCGGTGAGATACGGTATATGGGAGTCTGGTACCATGTACACTCGCGCATGTGCAAATTCATGCACACTGCACGCATAAACACATGTATGCACGAGTGCAAACACGCATGTTTGGTGTAATCATGCATGCATACGGCTGCTATTATGACATCTTGGTATTCTGCACACTGTTGCACCCCTTGCCACTCTAACCACCCACTCTCGCTGCAATTCCACCACTCACTGAACATCACCACTCTCACCAACCACTCTCACTGCACTCTCACCACTCACTGAAACCACTCAGTATCACCACTCAGTATCACCACACTCTTACCATTCTGACCACTCAATCTCACCACACTCTCACCCCTCCAACCTCACCACTCAAACCACTCACCCGCACCACCCTCTCTGCTCTCACTCTCACCTCCCATTCCCACAAATACCCCCCACCACTCACTCATTCTCACCGCTGTCAACTCTAACTCTCACCACTCATGCTCTCATGCAACAGGTGGCATCAGTGCCATACGGCTCATCATGTGCCACCCAAGGGGACTCAGCCCCTTTCACCAACTCATGAGCATCACGCTACGGGTGGACTCAGTACCATACGGGCCATCATATGCCACCAACCAAGCATGAGCATCATGCTCTCATGCAACAGGTGGCATCAGTTCCACCCAAGGGGACCTAGCTCCTTTCACTTGCCCTCACCCACTTAAGGGGACTCAGCACCTTTCACTTGCTCTCACCCACCCAAGGGGACTCATCCCCTTTCACCAACTCATGTGCATCACACTGATGCTTCCATGCACGGGCGGCATCAGTGCAACTCATCATGTGCCCCCAACCAGCCAAGCATGAGCATCATGCTTCCATGCACGGGTGGCATCAGTGCAACTCATCATGTGCCCCCAACCAGCCAAGCATGAGCATCATGCTTCCATGCTTAAGGGTGGCATCAGTGCCATATGGCTCATCATATGCCACCGCCAACCCCACTGCCTCTCACCACCATCAACCCATCACCACCATCACCACACAGCCCACCCATCCCCTCCCCACCTTACCTGCCAGCAGTAGGAGCAGCAGACAGCCCACTCCCCTTCGGAAACAACACCCCCAGGGGCTGTGCCTTGAAGGGCGAGGTGTGGTAGTGGAAAATTGCTTCCAGCCCAAGACTCAAATCCTGCCCCTGACGTAGCTAGAGCTGACGCGAACCAGAGTCGCCGGCCGGTCGACTCTGACGGTGCCCATTAAGCCTTAACGTCAGGTTAGTTACTTGAGCACCTAGTGCCGTGCCGCGCAGATTCCACCCACCAAACCCCCGAAGGGGGGGAGGATGAAAGTAGAGTTGCCTCAGTCCCGCCCTTGCTCCAGTGCTCCCTCCCTTCCTCTGGCCGCATCAAGGGGTGAAAAGGGGGAGGAGGGGGGATGAGAGGAGAGATGCCACTGTCCCGCCCATGCTCGAGTGCTCCCTCCCCCTCTCAGGCTGCAAGGGGTGGGGGGAGAGAAGAGAGGAGGGGATCAGATCTCCATACCTCACCTGTTACCTCACCTGATACCATACCACACCTCGCTCACGACTCGACCTAGCCTAGCCTGCCCTCTAGCCCTCCACCCCCCACTGCTACTGCTGCCGCTGCTGCTGCAACTGCTGCTGCCAGTCTGCTACTCAGCTTCTCTGCTTCAGTCTTCACTCGATGCCAAGTGAACTGGTAGGGAAGGAAGAAGGGGGGAAAGTGACAGAGAGTTAGTTGGCCTGACCATAAAAACAAAACAAAACTGAACTTGACAGAAACGAGAACACAGAAATGAAAAGCTAACAGGCAGAGAGGAGAGGCTGACGTACCTTGAGAGGCCAAGCCCACCCCGATACTCTCCCTTGTGGCAGCCAGTGGCAGTGCTCCATCTTCACTTGATGCCCGATGCCAAGTGACCTGATAGGGGGGGAAGAAAAAGAGGGGAGTAAAGAGAAAGTGAGCTGGCATGGACAGAAGTTGACGAAATAACGAGAAAACCGAAATGACAAGCTAAAGAGGAGAGGGATGAGGGCAGAGAGGAGAGTCTGACGTACCTTGAGAGGCCAAGCCCACCCCAATACTCTCCCTTGTGGCAGCGACTGGCAGTGCTGCCTCCCTCCCATCCCCACGGGTACCTACACGGTCACAGGGGAGGGGCGTGAGGGAGCGTCAGTGTTGACCCCCGCCCCTCCCCTCCACCAGCAAGGCACAAGCAGAGCTGGTCAGTGGGCAGCGAGGGGAGGAAGGGTGAGAGTGCAAGAGCGAGAAGAGAGTTTGCAAGGCGAGAGCAGGGAGGGGCCACTGGTGGAGGCCAAGCCACAAAGCACAGACCCCAAGGGGTGAACCTGAGAGGGTACCTGCACCTGAAGGGGTTACCTGCACCTGAAGGGGTTACCTGCACCTGATCTACATCTGAGGGGTTACCTGGTGTTGGGGGGTCTGTGGCATGTGAGGCGGACCTAACCAGTGGCACTGTTTCAAGAGGAAGGGTGCGAAAGCAGATGCGACAAACGAAATGGCAGCAGCAAGGGCGAGGGCATGGAGGAAGGGACACTTAGCTGATTGTGTGAGAGCGAGCAGAGGGCAGCTGAAGCACCACTGCAGTCTTCACTCGATGCCAAGTGACCTGGTAAGGGGGGGAGAAAGAGGGAAGTAAGAGCAAGTGAGTTGGCATGACTAGCAAGAAAACAAACTGAAGCTGAGGAAAACGAGAAGGCGGAACTGAAGAGCAGAAAGGGAGAGGGATGAGGGCAAGAAAGAGGCTCACGTACCTTGAGAGGCCAAGCCCACCCCGATACTCTCCCTTGTGGCAGCGACTGGCAGTGCTGCCTCCCTCCCATCCCCACAGGTACCTGCACGGCCACAAGGGAGGGGCGTGAAGGAGCGTCGGTGTTGACCCCCGCCCCTCCCCTCCACCTGCAAGGCACACGCAAAGCTGGTCAGTGGGCTGTCTAAACATCCAGTGAGTAGACAAGTGCGAGTCACACAGGCAGGGCGATAGAGGGAAAGGGCCACTGGAGGGGGCAGGAGCACAAGGCACAGAGTGCAAGGGGACCTAAGGAGGTAACCTGAACCTGAACCTGAACCTGAACCTGAACCTGAGGGGCCTGTGGGCAAACCTGAACCTGAGCCGATGAGCTTACCGGAAGTCAGTGGGAGAGTCTGTGGCTTGTGAGGCTGGCCCCAACCATTGGCGAAAGTTTCAGCGGCAAAGAGAAAGCAAGGAGTATGAACAATGCGCAGCAAGCAAAGGTGAGGGACGAATATGAGGAAGAGTGACTTAACTGGCAGATGAAGAGCCGCCAACAGGGCTGTTGCCTCATCCCTCCCTCCCCTCCCCTTCTCCTCCAGTGATCCCTCTGTTGCCTTCCCCGCCTCTGCTGCCCGCCCTGGTGCTCCCCTCGCCCGCTGCTCGCCTGCTGCCCTCCTCCTGGCTTGTGAAGGCCTGGCTGGGTAGGGATGGGAGGGCGGGGAGAGCGGAGAGAAAAGGCAGCCGAAAGTAAGAGGGGTTGCAAAGGAGACAAGTGTCAAACACACGTGCAACAGCAGAAACGACAGTGCATGTGACGCCAACCACAACCCCACAAGAGCCGCTACCAACCTGAACCTGCACCTGAACCTGAACATGAGGGGGAGTGGGCTCGAGTGGAGTGAGGTGGCAGGTGCGATACTGCAACCTCAACCGTTGATGAGGCCGGCGCTGCTGCCCCGCTGCCCGCGCTCCTGCTGCCCGCCCTGGTGCTCCCCTCGCCTGCTGCTCGCCTGCTGCCGTCCCCCTGGCTTGTGAAGGCCTGGCAGGGTAGGGATGGGAGGGCGGGCAGGGTGGAAAGGAAAGGCTGCCGAAAGTAAGAGGGTTTGCAATGGAGAAAAGTGTCAAACACACGTGCAACAACAGAAACGACAGTGCATGTACGTCAGGAGAAGCGGATCAGAGGAGTGGGGAGGGCGTTGAGGTTATAAGCAAATCAGGGTGAAGAAAATGCACGAATGATGCTTGCATGAATGGACTGCAACAGCAGAAACGACAGAGGGCAGTAAGGAAGGGGAGTGTGCAGTATAGTGCATGAAAGCCCACACAAGTGCGAGGGTTGAGAAGGGAGATGTACTTAGCTTAGCTGTGGGTGGGTTGGGTGGAGAGCGGCCGCGAGTGACGGAAGAGAGTGGGCCCGAAATCGCAGGTCGCCAGAGTGGTTCAA